TTAAAAGCTCCCTAGGTAGAGGCGCTCACCGGGCTCTCGGGGATTTCTTGCTCCCAGGAGGTGGAAAGATCCGTCTCGGACCTTGGATTAAAAGCCCCCTAGGTAGAGGCGCTCGCCGGGCTGGAGCCTGGAAGATCCGTCTCGGGGATTTCTTGCTCCCAGGAGAGGCGCTCACCGGGCTGGAGGCGGGAAGATCCGTCTTGAAAATTTCTTGCTTTCAGGAGGTGGAAAGATCCGTCTCGGACCTTGGATTAAAAGCCCCCTGGGTGGAGGCGCTCACCGGGCTGGAGGCTGGAAGATCCGTCTCGGGGATTTCTTGCTCCCAGGAGGTGGAAAGATCCGTCTCGGACCTTGGATTAAAAGCCCCCTAGGTAGAGGCGCTCACCGGGCTGGAGGCGGGAAGCTCCCAGGAGATGGAAAGATCCGTCTCGGACCTTGGAATTAAAGTCTCTTAAGGAGAGGCGCTCACCGGGCTGGAGGCTGGAAGATCCGTCTCGGAGATCCTTCTCGGCTCAAGGAAGAAAAAAGAATTCCCAAGGGCTCGCCTGCAAAAATGATCCGCGCCCGGGTGGAATCGAGCCTGCAGTCTGTAAGCTTCAGAGCTGCAGAGCCTCTTCCAATTGAGCTATGGACCCTTACTAGTCAAGCGCGGAGACTCCTGTGCCAGAGAGCGTCACCAGCTGATAGGCCATCAGGTGGATGAACACATCCGTCATCGTGCCGTCGAGCGCCTTGAAGGTGAACCAAGCCAGGTCGCCCGAACGAGTGCTGACGCCACTGAGGGGCATCTTGGGCACTCGCTCTGTCGGGAAGCCCGCGATGAAGCTGTGGCGCAGGTAGCCAGCGCGGTCGATGTCGATGTTGCGCACCGTGTCGTCGTAGGTCCCCGCAAGGACCGAGAGGAAGTGGAAGTGCTCCGAGGCTCCCTTCATAGGGTTGTGCGGGTACTGCAGGCTGCCCAGCTGCATCTGCGACTCCAGGAGACTGTCTTCCTGCCTGGCCGCTCCGATGGGGGCCACGTCCTGCCCCGGGTTGGCCAGCAGGTGGATCTTAGAGCCCGCGTCGTTGTCCCAAAAAGTCACGAACGCTCCCATGAGTTTCGTGAAGGCGCGCGCCACGGTGACGTTGTGCTCCGCCACGCCCGGAGGCACCGTGGACTGCTGCGTGTGCACCGTGGGGTAGCTGAACACGAGCGACCTTCCTGAGAGGAGCACGCGGTTGAAGGACTCTACCAGCGCAGAGTCCAGGACGACCTGTGAGGCCAGAACTCGGACGTTCTGGATCTCGAACGGTGCTCAGCGTGGCTGCGCCCCGGCGTTCTCGGACCACAGCGCAGTCGTGGCGTCCGCAAACTCGATCTCTATCACCAGGTTCAGCTGCGGCGGCAGCATCTTGCCGCAGCGCAGGATGCCCACCATGGTGGGGCGCAGCAGCACGTCCGCGTAGCCGCTCTGGTGCACTGCGCGGGGCGTCCGAGAGTTGTTCACCTCGTCGAAGCCCTCCACGGCCTTGTTCTGGTTGTACTCGCGGCCCTTCAGCAGGTCATGCACGGCCACGGTGCGGCCGTAGTAGTTAATGTCGTCACAGCGCTGGCCGTTGGCGAAGACCTGGATCCTCTGGATGAAACAGGCGGGGTTCGGAGTGGCAGGCGCCAGCGGGTTGGTGGCGTCCGTGTTTCTGACTCTGAAGGCGATCTTGATAGACTCGGGGTCGATGAACGAGGTGCCGCTGGTCAGCGGAATGCGGCAGACCCTCGAGGTGGCGGGAGAGAAGGAGCTCAGCGAGCTGGGAAAATACTGCACGTCGTGCCGTGCGGTCACGTAGTTGGTGTTGCTGGTTTTCAGCTTGTAGTCCAGGCTCTGCATCAACTCATCCTGTGCTCCGGCTGTGACTACCTCCATGCTTCTTTACATGTAGCGCAACACTCATTTTCGCTCGTACGGCGAAGGAGAGTCTAGGCCGCCTCGATATCTCGGGCCAGCTGGTCGTAGCTCGGCGGAGGCAGGCGGCTCTGGCGTCCTGAGCGCCCGGGAGTTTGGCTGGGACTGAGGCAGAGTCACTGGGAGCTCAGCGGGGGCCCGGGCACCACTTTGGACGCCGGACACGAAAAAACGCACTTTTCGGAGTTCGCCGTTTTCAGCGCTTTTTGCACCAAAAACGGAGCGGTGACAAAGACCGGTGACATCGGAAAAAACGTTCAGCTGGTTGAAGAATTTGGCGTTTTGCAGGGTTTGGGGACCCAAATCCGAAAATTAATAGGGTAGTATAGGCAGTCTTTCCTTACTACTAGCGGCAGGGCCTGGCGGAAATATGCATGCTGTCGCTGGCGCGAGATGCTTCTCACGGCGCTAAACTAAATTTTGTGACCTCAACAGCAGATCGCAAGACATGCGTGTCCTTGCTTCTTTCAAAGTGCCAAATGAAGGCGCGGCATGCGTGCCAAATGTTAGAATCTTGATCACTGCTTCAATTCGAAAGGGAACATGCAGTCCAAGACAAAAGGGGGGCGACCCAAACATGTGCAATGCGTGCATCCGCTGGCGTAAATGCGTCACGCGTGCCAGGTTGAGACAAGTCGAAACAGTCGCCCCCTTTTTGTCTTGGACTGGATTGAAGCAGTGATCAAGATTCTTTTTTTTTTTTAGGGTTTTATTTTCCCTTATGTTAAATCTTGATCGAATCTGTGGCCGTTTTCTTTCAAGCCATAAGGGACTTGCGTGAGGGTACCCCTCACTTTTTTGCGCCCACCCTCCCACCCTGTCAAACGCAGTGACCTGCCTGGGCCCAGCCGAGCTGGACCCCGAGGTACGGTGCGCACCATGACCTTCCCGCAGTTCACGGGGGGGGAATATCTCGCCTCTTGTCCTAGGTGCACCGCAGTGCCCAGGAAAGTGCTACCTTCCCAAGCAACCCGGTAAAAAAGGTGTGCGCCTTGCGGTCGGCTTTTGGTTCTGGGTTTTTGGTGATTTGAGGCTAGTGCGCGGGACCTTTAACTTCCTTGTTCTGTTTCATCTTTTTTGCATATATCTTTCCTTGGTGCAGACGCGTGCTAGACACGGAACGCTGCCTCGGGTTAAAAAACACTGTACTGTGCCTGGCCTTTTGCCCCGTGTTCCCTACACCTGGGCTAATTAGGGAATTTGTTTGCCTCTTGGTTTTTTCGTGGCTCTTGGTCAGGTGACAGCAGTGATGATTTCCGCGAATCATTTTTGGGCTGGCGTGGTGTACTCGCTTCTCAAATCGGGCACTCTGTTTTTGCGCACTACGCTTGATGGCTTCTGCAATCTGTTGCGCATTTTTTTTCAAAATGTTTGGGGTGACGATCGCTGGTTAAAACACCTGTCTCCTAGCTGGTTGCCTGGGAGTTTGGGAGTTGACTTTCGTCCTTCATTCGTAAGCCCTGCTTTAGGCAATTTGCTTATTCAACTGCAGTGGTTCGCTGGTCGAGACTTCGGTTACCCAATTAATTGGCCTTGTTTTCTGACTCTTTTGTTTGCTTTCGATGTGCTGAGGATGAACTGTGTTTTGTGTTGTTTTGTTGTTTGTGTTGTGTTGCTTGTTGTTTGTTGTTTCTCTTGTTATCCTTGGCATGTTTTGTACGTGATGTCTCTGCGCTGCAACCGCGGACCCGCACCGGCCGCATGGAACAAACAAAAATGGCCGCGCAATGACCAACTTGCTTGGCTTTTGAAAGTGTTTTGTCACATTGGCCTACGCGCCAAGCAAATATGTTCGCATTCCAATCTGTTCGCACCACTCTCGATCGCGTAAAGTTGTGATGTAAAAACAAGTCCAAGGATTAGACTAGTAGCCTCGGCGAGCGGCCAAGCTAACTTCTTCGAAACATTTGCGAAGCGTGCTTGGACGTTGAGGGTTTCGGTTGTGTTTTACAAGGCGTGACCCTTGAGCTACTGGCCCTCGTTGCAAATGAAACTAATCGGGCCATTGCCTTTTTTCTTGATGTTCACCACGTTCTGGGGTTGATGTTCAGGGTAAGAGAAATAGATGAGCCCTGTTGGAGGACGCGGCGGTGCGTGTCCAGAACGCACACGGACAATGCAAAAACACGGCGGCGCAATGTGTGAGGGGGGGTGGGGGGTTCCAAGCAACCTAGCGACCTAGCAGGCGCGTGGATGTGGTTGTGGGGCCCCGGCTACGTGTGAGTGGGCGTGGCCGTGGGGGTGTCCACCCAGATGATGGGTGTGAATCGGCGTGGGCACCGCAGGCTGGTCACGGTATTTTGCTTGCATCTTAATGCGCAGAATTCAAACACACAGGCGAACGCAGACAAATAGGCCAATAGGTAACGCCAAGCTATTGCTTGCAGCTTGATCGGAATTTTACAATCATTCATGCGTGGAAAGACGGGACTTTGCGAACAGGATCTAGAGAACTGAACTGTAGATTTGTGCAGTGCTTGCAGCACTTTGGTTGCAACACCGCAAACATCACACCGCTTTAGCTGGCAGTGCATTTGGAATGGTGGTTTCGCAGTGCTCGGCATTTGTGGACTTTTTTGGTTCTGTTTCTTGTCATGATTGATATATGCTGACTTCCTTGGTATTGATGTCACCCTTGTGAGTTTCAGCAATGATTGCGCAACTCATGTTTGAATCGACATGTTGCTGCCATGTTGTATTGTTTGGCCATTTGGGGCTCACACATATAGGAGGTGGGATTTGGCCTGTCCCAACCTCGTCACAGTCCAGTCCTTAGGCTTGCAACAGGTTACTGATGAATGCACTCCCATGTCTAAGGCTGTGATCAGCAGCAAAGGCCAAAGTTGCGCAGCGCGAAGAGCTTACTGATGACATTGCAAGATATGTGAGCCACACAGTATACCTGTGAGGAGCGCGACCGGTTTGCGGAGGCTTCGTGCTTTTGCACTCGGCAAGTGTAGTATCTGGGTTTCCAGGTCGGAAGAAGCAGCTTTGTTGGCGGTGCGCTTTGCACGATTTACAGATAGCGGTGTAAACAGCAACCTGGAGAATGCCAGGACGATGGTATGCAGTTTTTTGCCTTCCAGAACGGCCCTGGCAGCTCGGAAAGTAAAGCACAAGCACATGCTTCGCAGCTGGAATGCAGTGTGTTTGCACAAGGCATGTTGCAGCTTGCGCTGGCTTCTCGCACTGCTTCTCCTGCTACTGCAGGCATTGGTTTTTTAGCCAAGAGAGGCATGATGCAGATTGGCCATCCATTTTGCAGGAACGAACCGTGACATCGATTGGGACTGGCATTCCTCCAGAGCGAGTCAGCTCATTAGCAGGCACCGGAGAAGTTGTTCACAGAATCCTGAATCCTGAATGTGGGCAACGTGCGCGAGGGGAGAATTCTTGTTTGCTTTCAACTCTTGCTTTTTGGACAGTGTAATCAACCAGACATCTAAAGCTTCATCTGGTCCTGGAGTTTTCCGAAGATGGCAAGGACCAATTACACGAAGCCGAGCCGTGTATGCGAGTGCAACACATCCAGTTTTATTGTCGATGAGGGTTGGCCCAGGGTCTTTGAGTCTTTGCTGCTTGAAGGTGACAAGTCTTTGCCACTCTGGTTCTGGCCGCATTGGCCCAGTCAAAGTCCGCCTGCCTGAAGCACAAATGCAAATTACATGACCCGCACGGGGTTCGCCGTCAGCTAAAACCCACGCGCAAAGCTGAGGCATGTGTTGTTCCATGCGCCCCTGCTGAAAACGCAGCCCCGTACTGCGAAGCGCAGACCCGCACCCGCCCAAGTTGACCCGCTCGGCATTGCGCACACACCAGCCAAATGATAAGACCACTTGCAGATATTGGTTGCGCGTAAGCCGCCCCGACTCTAATGTTTGCTGCAAAAAAACACGGTCCTCAGTTTCGGACCCGACGTGCTGTGCGGAACGTTACCCAACACATGCCATGTGACGTCTACTGGCGAAGATCAACAATCTGAGCGCAACACGAACGCTTTCCGTCATACATGGCGAGCATGCGTCACAGTGGAGCTTTCAAGATGTTTATTCGCCGCCGCTGGTTTTTGGTGCTCAGCCCGAAGAACATGAAACCACTGGTTCTCCAGATGCACCTCGGGTCAAACTCATGAATACCACCTTTGGAATTGAATCGGCTCAACACTCGTGGCAGTTCCATTCCACTCGCGTTCTTGTACCTGGTGGCAAGATGTACCTCATTTTGAGGTTTGCCGAGCCCTGTCAGCTTCTGTGTATTCGCAGACATTTTGTCTAGTCAATACACTCGCTGATTGCAGTACAGAGTGGCAGGACCTTGTTTTTATGACCCGAATGTCTTCCCCCCCCACGTCGAGCAGCCGAGCAGTCCATCCGTTGGAAGTTTCCCTCGTACCCCTCAGCCTTCTTCGCCATTGCACTGTGTTATATTATTTTGGTTATGTTTTTAGTATGCGATTGGAAGCTTGGCTTTTTCATTTTCAGCTTGCCCAAACCATTGAGTACCATAAGTTTTCCAATGGGAAGCTGTACGCAAAGCAGGTGAGATCACGCTGTACCTACAAACTCCGACAGATGCTGTTGAGTGCCTCTCTGAGAGCTTGAATGTTCACAGGCTCTTGAGCTTTCTATGATTTGCCATGAATATCACAGCAAGCCGTCGGATGAGGTGCGAGCTCTTCCGAGACAGTGGCGTTGGGGATCAGCCTCGCTTCGAGGCACAACGCAGCCAGATCTCCACTCAGTAAGGGCAGGCAAGGCAAGGTGTACTCTATCGTCCTTTGCTTGGGGCGTCCGGAAGATGATCAGCTCCGTGAAGGGATTTGCTGGATCTTGAAAGCCCCGCACGAGAAAAGTCGTGCAGGTCTACAGGGGCCCGTGCGAGGTTGCTGTGAGGGTTGACGGTCTTGATCTCAGCGCTCATAGACTCATAGATGTTTCACTTCCAATGAGTCGCGCTAGAGGCTTGCAAGTGGACCGGAACTACCAGTTCCAAGCTCGCGGTATTGATGCTCGCGGCCTATCCTTGGTCGTGTGCCGACTGATCTCAGCCTTCTCAGGCGTCTGGACTTGAAGGTGGACGCAGCGAGATCGTAAGCTTCGCACAACCGCCACCTTTGGGTGTGTCGAGCCAGGGGCCACTTGTGACTTGTGAGAGCCTTCTCAATCGTTTGTGCTGCGTCCAACGGGACACGGTTGCTTGCTGCTAGGGGATGCTTCTTAAAAGGGTTTCAGTGAGTATACGTTTGAACGTGGTTTTGCGCAGAGATGGTCGCATTTGTGACTGTGTGGTCCTCAATTGCGCGACAGATCAGTGCTGGAGTTCCTGAATGGCAAGGGCTGCTGCCGGCGTTGGAGAAGGCACCCAGCTATCTTTGACCCTCACACAGGCGCAAGGCTTCTCATCCAACAGGAGTTGCGTTGCACAGACTGAGGCCCTTGTCCTTCTATTTTCGCTCTTTGCAGGTTGGCTCTGACAACATCAAGCTCATTTGGCCCGTGCCCGCCAACGGTGGCTCGCCGATTCTGGGTTATCACGTTGACATCGAGGCGCGATGGTGCCATTTGAAGCTGACTGCTGCAAAGCTCCTGTCCAGGCAAATGGTGACGGAAGTTGGGAGCGCATCTACGATGGCACGCTGGCCACATGCTCTAGCTCCCAAGGGTCTCTCTCTGTCTCCGCTCAGGTACAAATCAGCCGTCGCAGCATACCTTCACGGCTACCGGACTACATGCCTCACTGACGTGTGGCCCCCAGTCAGGGCAACACAGGAGTTACTCAGAGGCGTTTGCTGCACATCCTCATAGATTCAGGCAATTGCAGTGGCTTACAGGTACCATTTCCGTGTTTATGCAGAAAACCGAGTCGGTTGCAAGCTCAGAACGGCCGAGAACGTGTGAAGCCAGCCCGCTGCACCTGCAAGGCTTCAGCAGCTTTACAGAGGCTTCAGTACGGCTTGGGGCTCGGACTGGGCGGGAGGCTGGGAGGCTGGGAGGCCGCAACCCAAATTCATTCTGGATTTGTCCAGAGTCTTGCCCTTTGCGCAGTTCTGAGATCCATCTCAGGATCTCCGACCTCATGGCTGCCGATGATGCCAGACCCGAGGGCGTGCCGGTGTCGCTGAGCCTTTTGCCCAGTTCCAATATGTGCTTGGATCTTGTCAACAGTCAAGCACTTGGTAGACTTGCAGATTGATTGAGAGGTGCGGATGTGGAGCATCTTGGCCTTCATTTGGAGCAAGATATGTCGTGTTCCCGTTCCTGTTGCCCTTACTTTGGCGCTTGCCCGCGCAAGGTACACTGCGAGAATTCGATCAGTTGACCCTGTCACCAAGCTGGACGAGTCAGTCGGAAGCACAGCCAGATTAGCACCTCTCTGACCATGGCTCGAGTGGAGCTTGCAAGTGGTCGTGATCCAGCGTGTCCTGCCCCAGGTTGCCAGGGTTTTTCGTCCTGTTTCCACTGTTCACCTGCTGCGTTTTCTTTTAAACGTTTTGTGTGGTGAGCGTTCAGTTGCATCGAGGTGGGCGGCCGGCGCTTCATCCTGTCGGTGCATGATGTGTGCGAGATGGACTCCACCGGCGCCGCACGCGCCCGAAGCGCCCGAAGCGCCCGAAGCGCCCGAAGCGACTGAAGCGACTGAAGCGACTGAAGCGACTGAAGCGACCTTGGAGTTCTGCTTGGCCCAGTGAGAGATTTCCGAGGTCTGCGTTCGGGTGGCGCAGCCGCACCCGGAAGTCGCTCCAGATGTTTTGGGGCAGTGGGCGGCCTCAAATGCAAGACTGGATGCACTTTTCTAGCGGCGGTGTGAGAGCCAGTCACGGCTAAGGCCAATTTGCTGTACTCATTCCGTGGACTTAGACAGCGGAATCTACCGCTTTGATTACACTCTGCGGAAGGCTTGAGTCATTTAGACAAAGTGGGAATGTGTGGTCAATGTGTGGTCCATGAGCCCTGAAGTTGGACGGTTTTCAAGTGGCTGAGCAAGCATGCTGAATCCTTTGAGTGGAGGCGGGGAAGTACTCTCTTCTGGTCCAAGCCATCGAACCAGGAGGTTTACTTGGACAGTGCGCTGTCTTATGGTACTTGGAAGCTAGTCTTCAGCTTAGCCGAGGTACTGGGACAACCAGTGGCTCTACGGCATGCCAGTGGTCACTCGACAGGACGGCAGAACTTGACGCGTGTCAGTTCCGTCAGTTCCGTCAGTTCCGTGAGTTCCGTCAGTCGGGTCTCCATCAGATCTATGATATGGTTGCAGGACCCTGAGCTGAGCCATGACCCAAGAGCTTGCACCGTGAGAATGGCGCCAGCTTGACAGCAATGATCTGCCCGGCCATTCTGCTCACTGACACGAGTCAACATGGCACGGTGAGGGCCAATGGCTTTCATCACATTGCTCCTGAATGGACCAATTGTATTTTGAGCACTCATAGAAGAGGAAGTCAGACACCACAAACCCACTTGGAGTCAGGCCCATGTGGAGTCAAGCTCTTCAACTGTAGATTCTGGCATGTAGTTTGGCTTTGCCACTGGCCGGGCGATGCACCTGGAGGAATCAAAGGAGCGACTCAGCTGCATGGTTCGGAATTCATGCGCTCACTTGCTGTCTGCGACTTGAGCCAACTTGAGGGAATTCTCGCTGGGGGTAACGCAGCTTCTGGACGATTTGCTGAAGAACCAGGTGCGGTGTGCGATTTCGCGTGCTGACAAATCCGCATGTCTGCGAGGAAGGATCGCCATCTCCGAGGCCAGCGGACGCCCGAGCCTCGGTCAGTCAGTGAGTTCTGTCTCGATTCGGCTTCGCGGATTTTCGGATGTGTCTTGTGTCTCGAGGATGCCATGCGGCAAACCTTCCAGAGAACGCACGAGTTCTGCGAGGAGGTGTTCGATCGATCGAGTCCGGAGCCGCACCGCACGACCGCACGACACGACTCGAGGCGCAGAAGTACATGGACCTCGTGGCGCAGGAGGAGTCGGACCTCAAGAGGCGATCCCCGAAGCTCCGCTTGACGCTCCGCTTGGCGCTCCGACGCTTTTGACGATCTTGACGCTTTCAGGGAAGCAGAGCAAAAGCGCAAGAAGGCAGAGAGGCGCAACACTTGGCACCATGTTCCGGGCGTTGCAGCCTTGCCCTGCAGGCGATGGGGAATGGGTGAGACTTCCGGCTCGAACGTATTCAATGGAAGCCAAGACAGCTTCTTTGTTGCTCGATTTGCAGATATGTTCGCGAAGTTGAAAACAGCTTCAGATGAAGTCAGCCAAGGCTGTGCAAGAGAATGAAGCTCGACTTGCTCAAGTCCACCAGGTTCCAAGCAGAGAGCGTATTTGCTTCTTTCTTCCAAAATGTTCCACCGGCACTTGTGCAGGACATTGTTGACATGATGGAGTCCAAAGGTCCCAGAATACCTGTTCCAGCCCGGCGCCCTCAGTGTTCTTTTAGCATGCTCAATGGAGTTTGAGGCGAAAGACAGCCCAGATTCACTCGGTCAAACCATGGACTTTCACAGTTGGCTCCTCAAGTGACACGCGTGAACACGCTTGACACGCCAATGCCATGACAGGTAGCTTGGGGTGCACCTATACCGGAGACGACGACGCCTCCCCGATTCTGGACTTTGCCCCTTGCACGCAAAGACTTACATCTCACTCTTCCAAACGCGCAATAGATTGAAGCGGCTGTTTGTGGGACAAGGATTTGGCTCATGTAAAAGGCTATGGTAGGACCACTTTGCCTGCAGCGAATCTTTGTCCAAGGAGCGCTTGCTGGCACACTGTGAAAAGATGCAGGCCGGCACATTGTGTCGCTTGTTGGTGTGCTCCATCTCGCGCTTGCTTGGTGCTAAGGCGGAGCTTGAGCAATGGGGTGACCAGCGGAATTCGCCGCGGGGTTGGCACTCCCTTGATGCAGAGAACAGTGGAAGATGACTCGGCATCGGAAGATGACTCAATGTGTGTGTGTGTGTGTGTGTGTGCCGTTTCCGTTGCCAGGGTCTTGAAACTCTAGCTGTAGCTTAGACGGCAAAAGCCAGGCCTAAATTTGGTCTTGGTGAACTGCTTGTGGAATTCGTGCTGAACGAAAAGAGGCCTCACCATGTTTTCCGGTCACTTGTACCGCACCTCGCAAGCTGCAAGACGCCCCTTTTTCGGATCGAGAGCATCCGTCTCAGGCTTCGATTGGGGCCTGGGCGCCATCGCCCTCTACGCCTCCGACTTCGTATCGGTGCGGTGGACAGGCAGGGCAGGATGGGCAGGATGGGGGCAGGATGAAACACGGCAAGACCGACACCTTGGGACTCGGCTTGACGGCTTGACGGCTTGACGGCTTGACGGCTTGACGGCTTGACGGCTTGACGGCATGGAAGGTTTCGTGTTGCCCGAGTATTCGGAGACCTACACATTCTATGTACGCGCCGATGATTCTGCCAGGCATGGCACTCGTGCCGCACGTGCCTTGCTGTTGCCAGACAGACCTTGGTAGGCTCTGGGTGAACGGAGTTCTCCTTTTCGACAAGTGGGATGAGTGCTGCCAGGCTGGAACACTGCTCTTAGCACAGCTTGCCGTGGTTGCGCTGCCAGGAGTTCTGGGGGCACATCGCTTTGACGGCTGGAGAGCTGGCCTCCATCCGCTTGGAGTTCCGAGAGGCTTGATAGCCGGCTGAATTCCGAATGGATCTCTTCGCCTCCGGCACGAAAGGTCGCTGGCAACGCGTCTCTCAACATGGAGTGGGCCTCCTTCTCGACCCCTCGAGGCGACATACCCTTCCTGGCTTCGGCTTGGGCTTGCAGCGAAGCAAAGCGGCGCGGCAAGGTCACATCAGTCCTGGCCAGCTGTTCAAGGGCCCGGTCATCAACGGAGCACCTGTTCTGCTGGAGGCCTGGACATGAGCGCGCCGCTCGCTCGTCAACTTGCAGCTGGCAGCCTTCTCGATTTCCAGGTGGCCACCGGAGCCGTCAACGCGCAGAACAGCGTGGCTTTCGGTGAATTCCTCACCGGTGCACGCTGTCTGGAGCTGACGCCTCAGAAAAAACGTAACATAACAGCCAAAAAAAAATGCTGTTGCTCACACTTCAACCTGTATCACAGCTTGTGTTTGACACATGTGGTGCTCTAGCGCCTTCATGAAGATAAAGTGTGCTGGACGCATAAACACATCCAGCTCAGCAACACATGGCACTCCTGTTTCAGCGAGGTCCCGCGCCTTCTATATTCAGGCGAAAGACACAGCTCCCTGGCTGAAAGGTTCGTGCCCGGTAGGTCGAGCCCTTTGCCATGACGCCAGGCAGACAACTTGTTGAAGAGCAACCAGGAGGTCTTCCAGGTGCTTTTGCGGGGATCCGATTCCACGACGCCATATCAATTGGGCAGTGCGGTTTGAGATGTGTGTTGTTTTTTTTTGCAGGCAAAGGAGCCCACGCATGGCAGTAACATCTGAAGCTCATTTGGAACACTTGGCGCCAACATCCTGGTTGCTTTTTGGGGCAGCGCAGCCTACCTTCCTTATTTTGCTCATTAGCACCCTCTCATGGCTCTTTCACTGTTGGCAATGGCCATGCCAACGTGACCGAAAAGGGCGTCACTCCCCAAAAAGCCGCAAATCATGCAGACGCAGGCGGCAATCGCGCCTAGTCACTTTTACGGACACCTTCAGGCCCAAGGGCTTGCGCTGTGGCACGTTCCCCGAGATCCGATTCCTGCCCCTCAAGGGGCTTGTGAGTTGGAAATGCCATGAAAGTCCTCAGCCAGCTGAAGGTGCACGTCTGCAAAAAGGGCTTCGCCCTGGGAATCCCTGCAAGCAAGAAAGTTGTTGGCAAAGGGCCGACCAAGAGCTCTCGCACGCCCGGCAGTTGCTTCAGCCATTCTACGTAGGGCAACCTCCAAAAAGACGCCTGCCGGATCTCAGGGGTCTTGGGATGCAACAGCCTGCCCCAACTTGCGCGCCAATAGGAAGAGCTCCAGAGCAAAGCTTTGTATGCACTTGCTGTCGCAAATGGCGACACTCATGACTTCGCAAAGGCGGAGGGCCATGTTCATCAGCGAGCAACGCTCCAAGTTTTACATGGAGGAGGTAACACATAGGAATTGCATCTGCCGACCTTACATGAACATAAACAGCTGAGTGGCGGTACAATATGCCAACAATATACCCAACCGGTTTCTCAACCAACCGAGGGTTCAGAGCGTCCGAAGTGAAACAGGTGGCCTTCAATGGGCCTGTGACCTTCACAGTGGTCTCCGCACCCGCGGCGCGCTGAGCCGGCCGCCGGCCGCCGGCCGCCGACCGCAGCCGACCGCAGCCGACCGAAACGGTCCGAGCACCTTCCGGTTTTTGTTGTTCTGAGGTGAACCCCGAAGCTATGGACGGTCTCTACAAAGTTGAGTGCGCCGTTTGATTGTGAGAGATGCGGTGGCAGTGCGCTGGCGTTCAGGTACCTCGTGAGCGTAGCTGGGGAGTACCGCGTGTCGGTGGCCATGAATGGACAGCCCATCAAGGAATCCATCCCGCAAGTTGCGTGTTTTGTTTTGTTTTTATTCTTTTCCGCCACACTGTGCGGAGTGTTTTTTGCTTTGAAGGACAGTCCCTTCCAATTTATCGCACGTGGGGGGGCTCAGCACATTGCCGACTCACGGCCCCGGGCCCCGGGCGCTGGGGCATTGCCTCGGCCAAGCCTAGGACCTGGCAAGGTGTCGTCCGAGTACTCCACGGTGTCTGGCCTGGCTGGAACCTTAGGAGCAGAAGAGCCACAATCAAAACCCGGGTAGATGAAGTTTAGTAAGGGGCAGTCCCAGCCGGAAATAGTTGTGGCCGCCTTTTCAGTTCCTTACATGGTTCTGGGTTCACCATTTTTGTACCAGGTTTTCATCATGACTCAGATGTCGCTTTCTTTCTCTGGCAGATGTAGTTTGTGTTAGTTTTTGCGTGATTTCGATCTTTTTCTCGAGTCGGGAGTAGGTTCTAGTTTGCCAGGGCGCCATCGAGTTCACTGCTGGAACGGAGCAGACCTTCATTGTGCAAGCCCGGGACGCCTACTACAATGCGCTAGATGAAGAGGCTGGTGCCAATCACGAATGCCATTGCAAGCTAAAGCAATGAGCTGGGTGGGGCAAAACATGGTTTAAACACCACCTTTACAAGGGAAGAGTCATCATAACTGGTTGAAACATGTTTAAACCACTGGGTGGCCCCACCCTAGCAATGAGCAAACATATGTTTTCTTAGGAGCAAAGTGAGAGCATGCGAGCCTGATTGCTAGGTTGGTGATGTTACTGCCTCGATCGATTTTGAGAATTATGACACGCTGACTGTCTGATCCTAAGACAGGGAGATGGTTACTTGAAGCGAAAGCGGCACCTTGCTCAGACCATGAACGTGCTAGATGACACGCCTTTGAACGATGCGGAGTTTGGGCGGTTCGGGGGCACAGCTGAAGTAAAGGGCCAAAAGGCTAGGTCGGGAGCACAGGTTGGCACAAGCACTGAGGTATTTCTATGGCACATCCACATACATAGGCAGCGGTCAGTCGAAACCTCAGAGTGTGAGCCAAGCCTGTCTGAAATGAGTGGACTCGGTCACAGGTATGAAATCAAGTACACTGGGCTTCGGGAGGGTTCGCACAAGCTCTTCGTCAAGGCGCTGGTCTTTTGCATTCCTTTGACCTTCCATTGCATTTGTGATACTTGTCATACTTGTACTTGTTGGCAGTTTCCCGAATGTTGTTCAGATCAATGGCGGCAACGTCTTCCAGTCGCCCTTCAACATCAGAGGTTTTTCCGCCGCTGCACCCTACGGACCTAAGAGTCTGTCAGAAAGCTCAAAGCCTCCAGCCACCGCGGGGTGCCCAAGAACACACTTGGGCACGGGAGTGCGCGCTAGCGCCGCATTATGTGACTAAGTGCTGAAAACGGTCAATCAGAACATTTTTTTGCGGAGGGGACACTGTGCGACGGGCTTATGCTGCAAGGCCGTGGCAGGGGACGAGATCACCTTTCAAGTGCAGCTTCGCGATCCTTACGGCAACATCCTGCGGGCTTCCTAGGTCGAAACTAGGATAGAAGTCAAGAGTCAAGCCTTTTGGCAGATTTGGCAGATTTGGCAGATTTGGCAGATTTGGCAAGTCAGGCGTTTTTGCTTCTGAGCTTTTTGCATTGAGTTTGCGCCGAGGGCATCTTCACCTGACGGGGCCATTGTCATCCGGGTGAGCTCGACGCCGCCTGTGAGCCAGGCAGGAAAGCCCAGGAAGCAGAGAAAGCAGAATGCAAGCGGAATGCAAGCGGAATGCAAGCAGAATGGCAGAATGCAACAGGGAAAGCCGCGCCTGGATGCTAATGTGTGCAAGAAGCTCCATGGGGAGATTTTGCCACCCCGCGCTGTTCAAGTCTGTGTTCGGGGGGCCTCGTCAGGTGGATGAGGGCGTTGGCGCCCCAGTGGCTGCCGAGCGGGAGCAGACAGAAGGGACCGAGTGGGGTCGAGGTTTGCAGTCCAGCCACGAGTGGCAGCACGGGTCTCTTCGATTGCACGGTGACTCCGACGGTGAGTGGACAGCGCCTGCTGCTGGCGACTTAGCGACTTAGCGACTTCGCGACTTTGCGACTTCGCGACTTGGGGAGCATTTCAGCTTGCGGCAAGGGAGAGTCACACCTTCAGGTCGGTACAAGTTGATGGGGTGGAGATCTCCAAGCTCGAGACAGAGCAGCTGCTGTCGTCCACCTGAGATGCTTTGCAGATTTGTTCACCTTTAGCCCACGTCATTTATGTATTTGTAATTGATTCATTCCTTGTTGGCATTCAGCCAGGCAGTTGAACGTGACACAGGGGCCTTTCGCCCTGTTTGTCGAGCCAGCAGCAGCTGGGAGCTCAGAGCGTGCTTGGCGTAGTTGTCGTAGTCGACTCAGTAGTGCTTGAAGGGAAACAAGGGGGACTCCATAAATTGCCAAAGCTAGGAAACAAACTCATCAATATTCATGTCCTAGCGGGGAACAGCATATTCTGACCGCGGCTTCAGCTCCATTGCGCACGGCCGCCGTGTTGTGAATTTTGAGGTCTCCCCGGCAAACACTGCGGTGTACTACGTGCAGCCAAGCCGGGAGCCCTGCCCAGGAGCGTTCTTTTCTCTCGGCCGTGTGCGCAAGGCTACCAGGCTGGCGAAACGGTGGATGCCATGGTCCAGCTGAGAGACCAGTTCGGCAACAACCGCACCAGCAGCTCTGCGACTTTGCTCTTCCAGGCCCGACTGAACTAAAAGTGCACGGCCAGAGAGGCGCATACACAGCGTGAGTGTCAGGGACGCTTCGGACCGAGCACTTTGCAGTACACCGATCATAACGATGGGTGCGGCGCCGAGTCCGTTTCATTGCAAATGCAGAGTGCAGCTTGTCTCTCAATACTCGAGGACTGTCACCGTGAAGGTGGGAACGCACTTGGCCGCAGCCCTAAGTTTGTTGTTGTGAACGGAGTGCAACTTGCTTGTCTCAGGCTGGCCAGCATCCTTTGCAGATCACGCTGCTGGGAACTTGGCATGTTATCCACCCTTTCCCTGAATCAGGTATGATTGTCACACGACCCACACACGCAAACTCACAAGTACACGAGGTTTGATCAAACATCGAGCAGTCTATGGTCGATATTTGTCCACACCAGAGGGGACACACACACACACACATTTTTCCATGGGAAGAGGAGCATCTTTGCATGGCTAACTTGATTTCAGAGTGCAGAGTGCAGGGCCGGCGTTCAGATCTCCAACACACCCACGCCAGAGATTCCGGTTCTGGTCTCAGATTCCGTTCCCCATTCGGCCCCATTCGGCCCCATTTGGCCCCATTTGGCCCCATTTGGCCCCAGTTGGGGGAAGTGTTTCAAGCCCGCGAGGTGTACAGCACGATCGCCAAGTTCGATGGCACCGACTGCGCGATCCCGGCACAGATCAGCGCCGGCATCCAACATCCGCCATTTGCCTATCTCAGTGCACGGTCAGACGAACAGACGAGACGGTCAGACGGTCAGACCGACGCGGGCGGTGTTTTTGCGCTCTTCTGCTCTTCTGCTCTTTAGGTTCCAGTGCTTTCCTCGTGACACCTTTGGCAACAAAGTGGTTGATAACGACCTCTTCATCAAGGCTCCGACTGTGCCAGAGTGCCGCGCAGACTCTCACGGCATGTAGGGCCAAACAAACTAGGCATCTTGGCATCTTGGCATGTAGGAAGCTTGACCCACTGTCCCGGTGCTTGCACAGCTTTTAGTTTTCTTGTCGATCCTTTGCCCGGCCCTTTCTGTTGCTTCTAGTTTCCGCTCATTTTCATCCAGCCTGATGTAGGCGGAGTTTGTGAACATGGACTTCACTGCGCCTGCCAAGAGCTTGGATTTGTCACTGATTTATATATATATATATATACACATTCTTTGTGATTTCTACACGTTGTACACCTTTCGAGACTGGTCCATCAGCTCTAAGCTTAGCTCTCAGATTGTGACGGTGGCTGGGGTTTACAGCCTGGTGGACGACAACTACGACTTCCCGCTGCAGGTCTGCTCGTAGCTTCTGCACTTGATCGCACACGCCGCATGCCAGATCAACAAAGTGGGCGCCTACTCTGTGGTGACTCAGCGCGATCCCGAGCTGCCGTGTCAACGATTCTGGGTCCCAGCAAACTTGCTTGTGTGAGGCTTTGGGCTCGTGGTGGGCTGATTGGCCGCTACTACCGCACTCCAGGCAGGCAATGCGGCAATTCAATGCAGTCAGTGCAGTCAACGCAGTCAATGTAGTCGATCTAATGCTTGATGTCAAAGCAAAGCGCGTGTCATCCTGTCCCACGGCGCCCAGGCTTCCAAAGCTTGGTGTCCTTGCTGTCCGACCGTCCACACCAGGGCTTGGCACTTTTTGAGTACACGAGGGTGCCGCACCGATGTTAGCGGCCTCTTGCCGTCCTCCGCTATGCTTTGCCAGGTAGACCCCAATCTGGACATCATTTGGCCAGACATCCCAGTGGCCACATGTCCAGAGGACTACTTCTCGGTCCATTGGCATGGTTACCTGCTGTCCAGACCTTAGCAGAAGTGCGATGAGAGTTCAGCCACGTTCATGAATGCCGCACTAGCATGTTGGTTTGACGAATTCGTAACTAGCTAGCAGACTTGTCCTTTGTCCCTGAGATTTGACCAACTTGGAATCGCATGATACTTCAGCTGATTGCTTAACAACTGCATGAACTAATCCTGAGAAGCTGAGAAGCAAAAACTCGAAGCTTTGGAACCCAAGCTGCGGACACTGATGGATGTTTGTCCTTGTGCTGGCGGTTGCCCGATATGCTTTGCTTGCGCATTGTGGCAGATCTTGATTTCGTATTCAGGGAGCTCATAAATTGTCTCAGCTGATGTCTCCATTGAGCTTCAAAGCCTTCAAGGTGTGCAGGTCAATGCCTGTATGCTGTCTTTGTGGCCATCCTGTATGCCAAATCCTGACAATCGGGCGGAGGGTCACAGGTGCTAAAAAGGTGGTGTCATGCCGAGCTGTCATCGCTGCCAGAGCTCTCATCGATTTGGGGCTCCCAAATTGGCACAGCTGTTTTTGTGCTTGTGACGCCTTTCAGCAAGGCACGCGCTTCAAGCTTTGCGTTCAAGCTCTAGGCCCAAGACATTTCTAAAGAGGCGAACTGCTTTTGCGATGATTCCCCGTCACCGATGAAGCTTGATGTATGACGGCAAGCGACCCCCCACACCCCTCAAGCTGTGGTGCTCGCAATTTGTGTAGACTGTAACGGCAGTGCGGCACCAACATTGCCAGCATTCACAAACATGATGAAAGTGAGGTAGGGTCATTCCCTGATGCAGGGGGAGGGCGGGGTCAAACCCACCCATTTTTGTAACCGAGTATTGCCAGAACCGGTTGCAGCAGGCAAAAAAAGAAGCTGCAGACACTGGGAGAAACCGGTTGACCAAACGCCAACTACATGCTTGCACGTCAATACGCAATCGCCCTTGGCGCAAAGCCATACTGATCCCACCGTCCTAGCTTATGCACACGCATCTGTCCTGCCCTGCACTATTTGGACAGACGGACCGCGGTGTGCTGACCTCCCTTCTGATGAAAATCCAAAGCTCCCAGTTACTGGGTGTTACGCAACCAAAGAGCTTGCAAGCCGTTTGCCCTGAGCTGCCAAGTCTTCCCTCTGGCATTGTCCGCCTGTTCCTGATGACAGCGAGGTTCCTGTGTTTTTCTTGTTTTGCCTTGGGCTTGGAAGCGTCGCTGCATCTTAGCGTTGTTGAGAAGAAGGGGCTTGCTTTTAGAATGTTTTGATCAGTCAAGAAAGCAAGTGGACATTACCTTCAATGCCTTGAACTCAGGCCCAAAGCAACGGGGCTACACAGCATCCGCATTGAAGCAGATAAAGGTGCTCGAGTGATGGTGCGGCACTCAGTCTGAGTTTTGCCGTTTTGCCCAGATCCGAGTTTTGCCGGAGACTGCCATCAGGTTGGGTCTGAATGGGTTATCGACGAGATCAACTCTGACACGGCGGTGCGAGCTTCCGCACAGGCGCTTCCAAAATCTTTTGGCGGGTCAACAACCGCCAGTGTTGTTGCGATTGGTGAACATGCTGACTTGAGTCAAGCTTTCGAGTTCGACTAGTTCGACTGCATGCCTGCTGGATTGTATTCTCTGTGGACAAAATCATAGCATGCCCGTTTGTCTGCACGCACGCTGGACCGTGTACTCCGTGTATACAGCCCAACGAGCACGCAGCCAAACCTGCACGCTGTCATTTTTGGCCATGGAGTATACAGTCCAAGGCGCATGCAGTCGAACGGGCACCCGATCATACAGCCCAACTCGCACACAGCCGAACTGGCACGCAATCATTTTGTCCATACAGTATACAGGCGGGCAGGCTACTCCATAGTGTCCCTTCTGATAACCTGCCCATTTGACTGCAGCGGTGAACTGTTATGCCGCTTATGCCATGGCCAAAATGATAGCGGTCTGATAGCGTGCCTGCTCCGCTGAGCTATGCTCACCAATTTGATAGCGTGCCCAGCCGACAGCATGCCCGTTGGACAGCTACGCCATTGCCATGGACCTGTTTTGCAACACAACTTGTCCACGTTTGGGACGTTTTGGGGGTCATATTCAATGCCATGCCAAAGCAGATTTTGCACAGGTCTGCTCACTGCAAAGACCTAGCAAAAGTCACGTGGAAACAATCGCTGCGTCTTTTGCTGAACATTGTGTGACAATAGAGTGTTGGCTGTACTGGATCTTGGTTGGACTTCATCTTTGCATTCACGCTATCACATGGAGTATCATGCCCGAGGAATATTTTGTAGTCTTGCCAACGCATCACTTGCCAGGTGACGCTGACAAATCATGTGCCTGAATACATTGAAGTGCAGTACAAGCATGCCGCCAGGAGCTTATCCCAACTTATCCCCATGCCACGCTTGCCAGGCGGTAAAAAATCTGAGCCCTTTTCCAAGGCCGGGACAGCCTACGTGCGCCTCTACTGGGCGCGCCTCGTGTCCATGCGCCTTGTGCTTGAGGAAACTCCAAATCGCCAGGCCGCCACAGAGTTCGAGGACGAGCTGGTGCCCAGCCAACATCTTTTGCACCCGCTGAACGCTGCGGGCTGAGCACGAAGGCGACACGGGAGAACATGGAGCTGCTTTTCGATGTATCAAGGTCCTGCCGCTGGACACTACCACCACCGTGGTGCCCTGACCTCAGCACCGGTGCAGCATTGGTGTCAAGTAGCTGAACTTGGATTTTTCGAATTGTCATCTTTGTTTGAAGAATACACCAGTGAAGTCTCCTGGTTTCTCTTGCCGGCTCACGATTGCATGTGATGCTGATACATGGTGAAGCGCCAGATTGCATGCCAGATTGCACTGTGGAAGACCCATCACAAAGCGTATTGAGGGCTTTTTGCGGAATGCCTAACGTGAGAACCTTCTCTGGTCGTGCTGCACTTTGGTTGCTCTCCGACGGGCAGTCGCAGGCCTCAAGAAGCGGCAAGTACGTCTGTGGCATCTGGAGCAGCTCGGCTTGGGATTTGTGAGATGCAAAGTACATCTTGCGATTGATCGGGAGCAAAAAGAGAGCAAAGTGAGACAAAGGTGACAGTCAGCGGCCAGATTCTCTTGCCATGTCTGAGGATGGACTGGCAACTGTCACTGCTGGCCAGGCCTGACTGCACGCGGCGAGTTTGTCAATTGCCACGGAAGACTGCCAGGACAATTCCTTCATTGTGCACACGCGTGATTCAGAAGACAATCCTCGTTCCACGCCAACGTTATCGCCTCAGTGTTTTCGTTTCTCGTGGACTTGGGCACACTGTCGTACTTTCCGGCTCTTGTAGTTTTTGCTGCCCGGAATATGTGAGGACATCAGTGTTGACTGGATACCTGGGCCCTGAGCCTGCCGTGACACTCTCCTTCACGTACTTGGGAGGCGCCTGTTACATGTCCTCATATTTCCTCGTGCCGGTGTCTTGCCGGTCTGATCTGCGCTGCTGTGCTTTTCACCAGGCGGAAATTACACAGCAACTGTGAACCCGATCACCTCCGGCGACTTCAACATGCATGTGCTGGTCGATGGTATTTTCCTCAAGCATGCAACGTGAGACTTTGTGCATGCAGCGGAGATCGTGACACGACCGTTTTGTGACTATGGGCTCTCAGGAAGCAGCATGAGCGGAAGCATGACCCAGCCTCGCAGAACTTGGGTGTCTTTTTGTACCTATGTTGGGCTTTCTTAACGGGCAACGAGGAAAAAGGGAGCACCACCCATGTCAGGGGTCTCCTATTTTGAGACAACCCCCATGAAGCCATGGCAAACGAGAATGGCCTGGTGTCCTTCTTCCTGGCGGTATTTGCGCCGGAGGGCTGGCCCAGTTCCGTTGCTCCGGAGTATGGCCGCTACCAGCTTTGGGACACCATCCAGCAGGCGCGGATTGGATCATGTGAGTCTTTGATATCTTCAATATGATTGGCGCTTTGTTGCACCGGCTCACTTCTTTGAGAAGCCTTGCAGGTGACCTTCTTTGTGAACACCGCGACTTGGATTTCGGACTTTGGTTGCTTTCCATGACCAGCGCAGTAGCAAGTTTGCTTTGCGCGCGCCAATCGCTAGCAGTGCCAAGGTAATTAGCAAGCAGGCGCGAACGAGCGAATGAGCATTTGCTTTGCTCGCTTCGGCATGCGGCTCTGCAAGGCCGTGATGAAATTTCACGGGGTGGGGGACCCAACAAAGACTCCTGCCGAAGCGACGGCACTGCAGATGACTAGAGGGCTCCTTGCAACACTGATTTGCATGGCGGCTACTTGTCTGAAGTTTAGAAAGCTGTGCCGAACTGGATGGTAAGATTTCAGGCTGTAGGAATCTGTTTGCATTTGCAGATCGCTCAACATGCCCAATTGTTCATTGAGGTGGCAACTCCGCACTTCACCGACCTATACCGTGAACAAAATTCGCATTCGACTCATGCCAATGCCACGTTCAGAGCAGCGGGGGGCTCTCTTTTGGCAAGCTCCAGGTACGTTTCCAAAGGTCTTCCGCATGTCCTCGGAAATGGTCAATGCAGTGGGCCACTGTGTGGAAATTCTTGCGGCGATTTTTACGCAAATCACATCATTTCTCTATTTGGGCCCTGTCCCCTGGCATGCAGCGATGCAATTATGCAACTGTCGGGCGATGCGGTTGATGCGATTCGCGTGCAATCTGGCAGGCATTGTGTCTGGTGGCTGGCACCATGTCTGGCGCAGTGCGCTCCGTGATCCTGCAGCACTTTGCAAAGGGAGGCACTTTGCCAGCAGGCTGGGCCTCTCCGAGTCTTCCGCTGAAACGCTACTGGCTTGCTTGTGCTTGGCTTAGGCCAAGAGCCGGACTTTGGCGACATATCCCTGAAAGAGAGCAACCAGGAGGGGTAATTGGCACCAATCGAAGCAGGCCGCTACCCTTTTGCCCAAATTGGAAATTTGCTCTGGCAGGACAAAGCTGGGAAGGTGTTCGGCCTCTTTGTCGGGGTGGGTCTCCTGCTGAACTTCATAGGGATTGGCTCTGGAGAGAAGGCGCCCCCGTGCACGCGGAGCATGTAGTTGATCTGGAGGCTTGCGACAGAGTTTAAGGAGTCTTTACTTTGTTTTTTGTCGATGAGAGGCAGAAGAAGCTTCTCTGCAAAGCAGCCTGGAGTGGTTTCTTGTGCTTACGGTACTTCACTTGCTGGCTCCTTAGAAGAGCATCGTAGAATCAACGGAGTGACTCATTCCGAGGCTTGGAAATGTGCAAGCTGTGCGGCAGCTTGCCATCAAGTCAGATCAACCATCCAAGACGGAGGAGCATCATTGGGTTGTGGGCGCCTCATGTGCTTTGCATGAAGAAAAGCTTTCAGAGGCCAATGAGAAGACCGGGCAGGGCTTCCTGCGACGGATGTTCCTCCCGAAGGGCTATCCAGACACAGCAGCTTGGTCGGCAGAGGCAGAGGCTTAGCTATCAGCTATCCAGTGCTCCCTGGACGATATTTTCTGAACACCTTGAGCACCAGATTCGTATCCATCCAGATGTAAGTGCCAGGCGCGCGCGCGAACCTCTCTGGTTGAAGCGACGCCCACGAACTAAGTTGCTTCCTTTGTGATGTGGTGGAAACATGGAAACCGTTGGCGCGATTAGTTGAGTTGCATTTGATTGCGTGCCATGCCGTGATTCTGAGGTGGTGGCATCTTATGCGCGCTACCGCGGATGGTTGCTGGTGAACGTCCTTGTTGATTATCCAAAGCAGGTGGTCACAAGCATGCTTTTCTGGGGCAACATCTACGGAGTAGGAAATGCTGACAGCTCACCTGTGCGAGCTGTCCTGATTGACATCTTCATGATGACGACAGATTGTACAGTGGGCCTCATTGCCGGCCTGCCGATCTTCTCGCGCATCTTTGACTATCGCAAGAAGAAATGGTGGTACATTGCGGGCAGTGTCGGCCGTATCTGTGATTTTATCCAGCTGGCCGCCATCCTGGCACCGAGCTGGTTCTTCGTTCTCATCGCCGAGCCCTGAGCGGCGTGCAAAGTTTACAGGCCGAGTGACGTGAGCCTCTGCAAGCCAAGGTCACTGCTCGCGCTGGATGTGCTTTCGCAGCCACGTCCAACAGCCGCATTGCGGGAGCCGTTCCGCCTGCCTTGATGCGGAAGGAGTGCGCAGATCGAAAGGAAGTTGAACTGATTCATGCCCCTGCGCTGCACCGAGACTTGTTGGACCTGCTCATCAGCCCAGTTCGCGTGTGCCAAATCAGCTCAGGTCAATATCGCAAGCAGCAATCAGGACCCCATTGATTTGTGCTTTGATTGTGGGGTAGACAGAGCTTCTCTCTCTCAGGAGAGAGCCGTCGGACTTCCATCTGGCACTCTGTGTATAGCTTTCCTTTACTACATGGCCCCGAAGCTCAATGCACCCAGCTGAGGGCCAGAGATCAGCTCACCCTCCTCTCACCGAGGTCTTTTCCGGATGGCAGCCCAGTCTTCGACTGCAAGTCCTGGCTTACGTCTTTCTTCAGGACGTGCAACCGTCGGAGTTTTGCATCCGACGTTTTTTTTGCACTGGAGGCGTTGAGCTTCCTCGCCATGTGGGGCTCGTACAAGAACCTGCCGCCTTTGCCAGGCCCGGGGATGGGAAGAAAGGACGATAGGAAGATAGGAAGATCATAGGAAGACAGGAAGATCATAGGAAGATCATCGGAAGATCATCAAAAGATCATCGGAAGATCATAGGATCATAGGAATATTATGAAGTTTAAACCTTTACGCTCGACGCGGTAGATGTTTCTGGAGATTGTGAGGTGAAGCGGACTTGTCCGCGCCGCTGGTGGCGCGGCGCACATCGGAGGTGTACTGGGAGGAGCAGCATCTTTCTCGCATTGATGTGCATCCCCAGCCACGCGATGCACAAGACAGAACGGCTGAGGTACATATATTAATATATATATATATATATATGGCACCCCCCACAAGACCTAGGTTTGCTTGTTCCTTTGGTAGTTGAAGAATCATGACCCCTGACCCCCCAAAGAGGCACCCCAAGTCACTCATGGCATGAGGCCTCACGTGTTGCATGTTACAAGTATGAACTCGCCGGTGGCAATGTCCATTTGGCTCAAGATTCAAGTGCCCATGTTCAATAAGCCAGGGTTCGCGCTTACCGGTCTGGGGTTAATAAAGGTCCCGTCTTCCGGTTCGCTGTGGTTATCAGCCGTAATTGGTTTTTGGGATAGCCCGACCCGGTCCGGTAAGTGCACGCGCCTCGTGCATGGACCCCACTTCAGCTGAATTTTCAGCTCGCGGACAACGGGGAGGTTGGGTACGTCGTGTCGCAGGTGCTACGAAGCTCAACCGTTGGGCGTGGCGGTGCTATCAGATAGAAGTGGGGAAGGTTTTGTGGGAAGACGCTACAGCTGGAGTTCCCTTGCAGCCCGGCGAGCGGATTTTTTTACATAACCCTGGGCATGTCCGGGACGCATATATACACAGCTGTATCAAAGATCGCCAAAGGTCTCCACCGCCACCGCTGAGGCAGCCACCGGCGCCTGCCCCAGTAGCAAGGCCGCAGCTCAACGCGCAGCATCGGCCACGCTGATCAGTGGACCCAATCCTTTGTCGTCAGTGCCACAGGGCCTTGGCAAACAAGGCCCTTGGCAAACGGCCCCAAAGCAAAGGGCGCAAGGCACAAGCCGGCTCCGCCACCGCCGCTGCAGCAGCAGACAAGGCCTGCTGCCCGGCCACGCCCGCGGATACGAAGGCCAGGCCGCCTTGAGCAATCAGCAGGACAACCGGACGGTCGATGTTACCCGAAAAACCGTCACAGTCGCCCTCGATTGGCAGAATACATTAGATTTGTCTGTTGAGGCGGACGGAGAGCCGCGAGAGTGGCTTTTGAGAATTCTTTCAAAGATACATCAAAACCACTATCCCCTGCAGTTTCGCATTGTGTCATTTGTGAAAAGCGTGACACCCGCGAGAGAGTGATCAGAGAATCAGGCAGATTCATCCAGAGGGTCAACGACAGCAACTTCCACCATCAGATACTGTGCTCACCTTTCGGTGCGAGTTTGCTGGTCGACGACAGCTCGCTCGTGCTCCGCCATTTCGTTGGCCTCAAGGCCAACGATCTTGCTCCGCATTGCCCCATAAAAATGGACGAAGCAGGCGAGTTGCAAGGCGCAGCAGAGGTTCGAGACGAGAAGAAGTGTTGCAGGAGTATGCGCCATGAATCTGGTTTGCCCTACTCCTTGCACACACACTCTTATCCTTTTGCTTGCCTTTCAAACCGGCCATCTACGTTTGATCGTGCCAAGACCCAATAAGAAGCGCTCGCAAAGGAAAAGTTTGATGGCGCCGAAAAACGGACGCTTGAACCCAACGTGGCTCCTGGCTCCGAGGGCTTCAGCGCCGAAGGGTCCTCAGGGTGATGGATTACCAAAGTTTCCGCACCAATGGTTCCGTAACGGTACATGATGTGCCAGAGCCTGAGTTGTTCAACCCAGTCTTCCCAATAGCCGCGGCTGCCGAGCGAGCGATTCGAACCGGCGAGGCGGGGGGTTGGAGTGCTCGATCCGAGATGTCCCGTTCCGCCCCGGAACCATAACTCCATCCAGCGTTAGAGCCCGTACCCGCACCGCTGAGTGTCGGAAACGCTTCGCTGCGTTGGTTGAAAGCGAGAAGGACGAAGAGGTGAAGAAATCATTAAAACGCCGGACGCGGCAGCTGTGATACGCGCTGCGAAAGCATCCTCAATGAATCCACCTGAACATAAACCCACAAAGGTGACTGAGGAGGCAGATGAGCAAAGCGTCCGTACTCTACTTCGCAAGCCCGCATCTTCTCGACCTAGCGGCCCACATGCTGAGGCACCCCCTGCATCTGATTCTGGTTCATCACCAACCTCGGTGCCGTTTCGCCCTAAAAGATGTTGATGATTGCCCCGTGCCTGTGACCCAGCCCGGGGCCACTCACGTTGTGTCTCAGCAAGATGGGAGTAAGGAGGACATCTCAGGTGATTGATCAGGTAAGTTTTCTGCTCGGACTGGCGTACCTATGTTAAGGTTGCGTATGAACTCTGAGCAGCTGACTGCAGCTTTAAGCGCAGCGCAAAGCCCGAGCTGTGGTTCGTTGCCCGTCAGTTCAGGAGTTGCCGTCGCTGTGTCGACCGCTTCCACTACATCGTTAGCAGAGACAACTGGAGCAAAGCCGTGTCGAGAGGGTAGTATCACTCGCGCGCTCTTTGGACCAGCAGGGCCTTCCCTCCCTGAGTCTTTGGGAACGCTTGCTGCGCGAGGCCAGGGCCGTCTTGGCATTTGTTGTAAGCGTTGCTGTGATGCGTTGCAGGCAAGCCATTAGCAGATGGCGATTCACGGCTGCCTGCAGTTGCTCAGCTACTCGGCGAAGATGCGACATGTGCCACGTGCCCGCAAGGTGAACCTTGCCGCACTTTAACAGCTTGAGCCCGGCGCGGGTGTGGTAATCCAGTACGTGTCAACAGAGTCGCAAGCCGCCGATATCTTCACAAAAGCGCTCCAACCCACGAAGTGGGACCACGCCCTCAAGCTTTTAGGCATGTGAAGAAATTTGCCAGAGAAGCTAGTAGATGTTCAAGCGGGCATGACAAAGTCATGAAGTCTGTGCAAAATCTTGAGTAATCCCTGTGCGTGGTCTGGAAAATGACCGCAACATGAGTGGTCGCAGCTCAAGCGCGACTGTAAAATAGTGCATCTTAGTGGGCCCGGAAAGGGGGGAGTTGAAGACTCATGACCCCTGAGGCGCCCCAAGTCACTCATGGCATTCAAGTGCCCATGTTCAAAAAAGCCAGGGTTATTGCGCGCTTACCGGTCCGGGGTTAATAAAAGGTCCCGGCTTCTAGCTCGCTGTGTTTCTTTCCCTGTTGAGCTTGGTAGACCAAAACAGTGGCAAAAAGGCCCCCAAATCTCCTGGAGACACTTATCGTGTACTTCTGCAGGTGAAACGCGATAGAACTACCTGCGCCATTCAGGAAGATTCGATATACACACTGGACACACGCACGTGTCCTCAATTGTTTTGGCACTTTTCAGTGGCCTCTTTTACTTCTGGAAGTTTGCTTTTTTTCATTTGAATCTTTCCAAGTAACAGTAAAGACAAGTGTTTCCAAGGGTTTTTGTAATGCCCCCCCACTACTTTTCTTTGTGTATATCTAGAATTCTTGTTGTCTTCTAAACTGCTTCCAACAAAGCAAAAAGTTTCAGCAGTCTGCAGATGGATTGGCATCAGTGTGAAATTCCGGAGAAACAGAGGTGAAGACAAACAATGCCTTGAAAAATATTACTTGAAGCCCTAAACTATCCATAGCGCAAATACGTATATAGTCTCACTTGCGTCTAGCAGCCATTCTTTCCTGAGCAGAATTCTTTGCGTACGTGCGACAGCCACGTCTGGGACGCGAAGCACCTTTGCTCGTTGCGCGCCCCTGAAGTTTGATATTAGGGCCCCAACCTCACTGTCTCCCTCTGGTTTTGTGTCACTGGGCTGTTTGGCTTGGGATCGCGACGGCCACCCCGTACCATCGCGCCGCATTCCTGCTCTCAGCCGGTTCCGCCCGTCCTGTGCGCCCGCCTGGACCTTTGCTCATCCACAAAAATCGAGCCGCGCGCTGCTCCGTTGCAACGCGCAAGTCCCTTGCCAAATTGAGCGATCAGCGCGCAACATGTCTCATCATCTTTTCGCAAGCACAAAAAACACAGGCCGAGCATTTGGTGCTCTAGACGATTTGCTCCAAGGAATGACTTGGACTCAGAGCTCCTGAACTCCTACAGCGGCCCTGCTTCGGCAAATCCAGTACGTGTACGGACTGCGAGCAAGGGGGAGTGATCTTCCTAGAGCCGACGAGCTCCTTGGCTCCTTGACAATTGCTCACTTTCGCCTCGACTGGGGCGAGGACAATGAGTCGCTTTTGCCTCCAATGTTGGGGCGGAAGGACCGCGATGCAGCCTTTCATCCGCTGCTTATTGGTTTAACTCACTACATGCGCGGGGCGAAAAGGACTTCGGCGCAGTGCAATGCACGCAGGATCTATGTGCCAAAAGCAAAAAGCCAAAACCATTGAAACGCCACTGGCTCTGAAGCGGCTGAGGTGTTGACATCGTGGGCTCGCCATTCATGCCACGCGTACTTCCAGGGCCAACCAGTGCAGTGCTTGCCTTAGAGGTGCAGATCGTGCCAGTTGGTCAATGCGTTTGCAATGCGTCGTAGACGTTTTTCTGTGAGACCCACAGCAAAATCACCGGCACCGGCCTGGAATATGCGGAAGCTGGCGTGGAGGCCGGCGTGATGTAGTCGTCCTGCCTGGCAGCCAACTTGCACAGGGCGTATTCTATGTGACGCTACGAGATGCCCAGCTGAACGAGAGGCGAGCTCCGGGCAGGTGCTTTGTTTTCGGGGTGCCCTTTATAGGGATTGTTTTGATTTGAGGACACACCCATTCGAGGTCTGGTTCTGACCTGTCCCGATGAAGGGGTTTGGAATGGTTCGCTTGCATCACCGCATTTTTTTGCTTTTCTTGATGCATGATCCTGAGGGGTACCTCGATCGGAGAGCCAGCCGGGCACCTGAAAGCTTGTGCCAGTTGGGTGCCATTGGCCCGTCTTTCAAGAGCGAAGTGGCATTGGCGTCAGGTCACCCTGGATGATAGCAGGATGACCTGTGCAGATCAGGGTTTAGGAGTGCGGGGCACTTAGAGAATTGCCTTTGAGGGGGCCGGACATGACATGTGTTTCTCAGGTACAGGTGCTCCTATCTCATCACTGAGGCTGAAGCTTGCCGGATTGCAGTTGGTCTTTAGGACGAGAAGTCTGATCCTACTGTTGAATCGGAGGATGAGTTGCTTGTTGCACACTTTGGATTGCTATTGCGGTCAATCTGGGCAACAAACAACATTTGCCACTCTTGACTCTTCAGATCTGAGAGTTCCTACCTTGCTGCAGAACTTGCTTGGGCCAGGCACAAGTTCTCAACGTGGTACTGCGAGTGAACGGACAACCTGTGAACCCCGATGCGCCACACACCTTCCCGTGGCCTGACTGACCCGAGTCGCTCAAAAGTGCACCATGCAGAGTCACATGTCACATGCCAAGCGGGCCTCAAATCGCACGCACGGATCCGACCTTGAGGCTGACCATCAATCCTAAGCCTATCGACTCCACCAGCGGGGCTAGCGACTCAGGTTCACCAATGGAAGCTCCATCCTACCTGGGCACAGCTCAGGTGAGCTATGTCTATGCCTTCACCACCTTCTTCCCCGAGATCAGAAGGAGCACAGACAACACAGTCGTCTTCCAGGTTAGAGACGAGTTTGGGAACGATGTACCAGACCAGGGTTGCGAGACTCAGATATTGCATTGCGCATTGAATTGCCACTGGCATCATAATTTTCTACTTACTTGATGCCAAGGTAACAATTTTATGATTTGCGAAGCAGCTGGTCCGGAGCAGAAGACGCCTCCCTTTCATCCGCCCCTGGATGTAGTGAGATATGCCCCCGGCCTGTTCCGAGTCAACCTAAGACTCGAGACGTCTGGCCTTCACCAGGTGAGTTGTTATGCTCTGAACAAGGGTGGGATCAATGCGCGGTACTTCAACAACCGCTGGGTGGAGGGCGTGCCGGCGATCTCCCAGGTGGACACCGCTATCGATTTCAACTGGGGCGAAGGTTTGGTCACCGCTGACTCCTCGGACTATGCCTCGGCGCAGTTCGACGGGTACCTGCAGGTTCCGACCGCGGCCAACTACACGTTCTACATCACCGCCGATGACGGCGCCAAGATGTGGCTGGATGACGAGCTCATCTTGAGCCAAGATACTGCGGGGCAATACCAGACCCTGCGGCCCATTGAGCTCTCGGGGTCCAGGCTTTATCATGTCCAGGTGATGTACTACGAGCGCACGGGTTTTGCCCGCATGCGCTTGGAGTGGTCCAGTGATCAAGGTCTCCTGCGCGAAGTCATCGCTCAGGACTCCTGGTTCCATTCAAGAAGCCGGCTGGGCCTCTTCCCGCAGTCGGTGCTGGTGTACGACAAGCCAGGAGAGCACTCGATTGCCTGTACTGCAGAACCACACGCCAATCAGCCAAACCAAGCACTCATCGAGCCATCGAGCAGTGGCTTTTTGACATAGGCGTTGCGTTGATCATATTGGTCGGTTTGCTCGGTTACAGCCCAAGCTATTGTTCCGACTGTCTAGTTGATCTATCTCGCGATTGTTTCGACAATCCTGAACAAGATACCTGTTCACGTGCGCCATGGAGACCTGCACAAAAAGCAGCCGGAAGAGCAGACTCAGAGACTCGCGCACTCACACCCCCTGCACATTGGCAGGACCAGTCGAGGCCTTTTACCATCATGACTTTGAGTATGATGTGAACCACTTGCGCCTTGTCACAAAATGATTGATCTTTCAACACAGTTGATCCTCCTTGAGTGACCGAGGTCTTGGGTGCCTCCTCAAGATAACGGAGCAAAGCCAATCCTGCTTTACCGGCTTTACCGAGATGACGGGATGGGAGGGGCAATCGATAATTCGCTGGCTTTGCTCGATGCGAACACCTTCTCCTACTCGGACACCGGTCTTGTCACCGGACAGGTCTACTACTATAGGCGGGCAAAGTTTCAAGTGTGGGCTGTGTGGATGTATGGTTGTGTGGCTGGCTGTGTGGCAGTGTGGCTGTGTGGCTGTGTGGCAGTGTGGCTGTGTGGCTGGCAGTCTGTGTCTTGAAGGATTATGGCAACGAATGGTGATGATGGCGAGCCAGTGACAATCTCGGCACAGCCTTCGGTACCCCCAGTGCAGCAGCGGGCTCAGGTGAAGAACATCCATGTAGCACGACATGCGACGCTTGTTTTTTCGAGCAGCTCTTCTCATCCAGAGGCATCACACAGACACATCCTTTGGACAGAGAATGAATAGGCCGTAAATGTAGTAGCTATGAGGAAGGGTCCTGAACGCCAGATGCTGCACTTTAGAAGCCATTTCATAGTTCGATGCTGATGCATAGCCCGCCAACGTGCCAAAGTTCCCTCGGAATGCTTAGACACAGGCAGCGAGCCAAAGCCCCAGAAGAAGAATGGCCCCTAATGTGATTTTTGAACTCTTGTAGCAGCGACAAGTGACGGTGGAATCTTATATGAGAACGAAGCAGAAACAATAGTGTTAGTACAGGGGAACACCTATCAAGCATGAAAAATAGTATTGGGCGTCGAGGAATCAGGGAAAAGCTTATTGCCATTCCCTAGGCAACTGCGAGGGAAGAAGGAAGGAAGGAAGGAAGGGAGGGAGGGAGGAAGGAAGGACGGACGGATGGACATTGCTCCACTTGGGGGGGGGCCATGCGGCAACCAACATATTTCTGCAAATGAAAAACACAAACAACAAGTGTCCCCAAATCCATCCTCTCCCAAAACCCACCCTAAACCAAACAACCCCAAGCTCTCAACAAAACCCCAGCCATGCCCCACATTGCTTTTGACGCCTTTGCTAATTTTTTGCTAGCGCGTGTCGCGAATTCGTTTGACGCTTTTGCCTCCCTTCCCTTGAGGGCTCGAGGCCTTGGGAAGCCGCGGTGCCGAGGCCCGATCCGGCGCTGCTGGTGAGAACGGACACCGGCAGCATGACCTTCCTCTTCACCCCGCTGACCGGGGCGCCCTCGGGTTGGTCCCCGACGGTTCGCACCTTGCGCAAGGGGGGGGACGTGTGGGGAAGTCTGGGCATGGGAATGTTCCGATGTCAAAGATTCACGAACCATGCAGCCATTCGGACTTGTCCAGTGATTTCATTCTGGGAGGTGCATTGTCTGATGGGCCAGTGGTCGTGCATCTCTTCAACCAAGGCTATACTCTCTACCGCAATGATGGTCTTGGTGGTGTGCTACGGTTTTCCTATGAGGGTGATATGGATGGAACCTCTGACGTGGAACTGACAATCGGTGGACTTGTTGAAGGCCGACAGCAGCTCGCCTGCACATAGTCCGTGCTACCAAAGTGTGCAGGTCCTTCTTCTGGGAGCGAGGAATAGGTCAGAAGATCCGAGGAATGAATCTTGAACCGTTGTTTTTCGACTGAGGTACCTGTTCCAAACCTCCTACTGGAGCCGCATCGGACAAAGCCCACTGAGCGAAGTCACGGCGGTGGTGTGCTGCGAGTTCCGCAAGCCCGGCAGCCCGCCGATCAACTTGCGCCGCGAGGGCGACCAGGGCAACGAGAAGATCTCACTGGCCTGGGACGCTGTGACGGTGTCTCGCCCGCATGCGGTTTCTGCCAACCGCACATAGGGTTGAGGCAATCTAGGATTCAGGCCTTTACGCTCTTGGATGTATGCATTGGTTTGCCGTGTGCACATCCTGCAGGACATTGGGTCATCATCATTGATATATTACAGACTCTACATGGATGACGGTTACACGGAGATATCCAAAAACACGGCCTCTGGAACCACGACGACTGAGTTCTTCGAGTTTCTGACCGCTGGCAACCCTTACAGATTCGCCGTGGCCGCAGTCAATGCAGCTGGTGAAGGCCCCCGCAGTGAGCGCATTACTCTCACGGCCTCAGATGTTGCAGGGCAGCCATATGATGTTGCGTCAACGTATCAGTCCAGCTACCGCATTGACCTCTCTTGGAAGAAGCCGCTTCTCACGGGTGCATCCGGAATGAGTGGTTACAAAGTCTGGGTGGATGATGGCAATGGCGGCTCCATTGCCAACCTGATTTGGGATGGAGGAACGAAAGCTGCTACGTTGTACTACTCGTGGCAGCCCGTCTTCTCGGACGGCACAGTTGCCCTGCTGGCTGGCCACACGTATCGCTTCCAAGTGCAGAGTGTGAATCCCACCGGCGACGGTGCGAGATCCAACATCTTTTCTATTGTGGCAGCCTCAAAGCCTAGTTCCCCCGGAAGGCCATCGGTGGACAGGCAGGAATTTGGGAACAGCCAAGTACCAGAGGTCTAAAAGTAATGATTATCACTGCGTAATGTTGCTTGTTTGTTCCCCCGAGTGGGAAAGTCTTGCACACAGGGCTTCAACATCGTCCTCTGCTGTACACCTCTCATGGGCTGCTCCAGACAATGGAGGCTCCCCCATCCTCGGGTATGTTGTTGAGAGGAAGACCTCCCCCACCACTGACTGGATTCAGCTGACAACAGCCGGCGACTACTACACCTCGACCAGCTACATCGACACCCACAACTTGGTGGCAAGTGCCTTCTACATCTATCGGGTCTCCGCATTCAACTTGGTGACAGTTGGTGAGACGCTGTACTCGCCCGAGGCAACCATCCCAGCAGCTGCTGTTCCAACTGCTCCCACCGTCACATTTGTCACATCCACTGAGACGACGATTACAGTCTCCTGGGATATCCCCGCTTCTGATCTCACTGTGACAGGATTCAGGCTTTATGCTTCTCGGACAAAGTTGGTGCGGTGTTTTGATCGCATGGATGGCTCTGTAGCATGATTTGCGATTCCCGGCCTCTTTTGAGGTGGACAGTGTTCTGAAGTATGACGGTGCAGGCGTTAGCACCGTCCGAACGTTCACACTGGCGGGCTGCACAACAGGCAGCTTGGCAGCAAGGACTTGGCAGTCTTGGCTGCATGAGAAGCCATGTCTCCGAGGCAACATGCATGACTTCCGAGCCACAGCCATCAGTGACGCTGGCGAATCTACTTACTCAGCTTCTTTGCCTCGATATTGCGCCAGGCACGGATCATGCCCAGATTCGCATGAACTAAATATGTTGGAGTCAACACTGCTTCTTCCTCTGCTGTTACTCAGAACGACAAACACCAGAAGAGGATGTGCATTTGGAGTAACCTTTTTGCCTGCATGTTTCGAGCTAAAGGCTTTCGGAGATGCCAGGCGGCCATATCCACCATTACAACCATCTCTGAAGACGACAACACTCCTCACAGTGGAACCTTGGCTTTGGACGGACTTGACCGGACTAGGAAGCGCAGCATTCGGTTTCATAAGGTGCATGTATCCAGTTCGGACGTTTTAGATAAAGCCATGACACATGCAGGGGTTTTGCATGCTGGCACTGAATTGCTTCGAAATAAGTTGTCAGGAAATCCAATGGATGGCTCCAGCAAACAATGGCGGGATGCCCATCGCTGGCTACAAAATTCAACGCTCCAACCATGACGTCTATTTCTTCGGCACTGTCCAGTGCCTTCAGACAGACGGATCATACTTGACCATTCTGCCGGAGAATATGCACTCTTGTCTGGATGACACTGCATTCTTCTGCCCGCAGCGAAAATGCAAGTATCGGGTTTTGGCCATAAACGGGATTGAAGATGATAACTTCGCCGACGTGTCGCCATATCTCGTGGCGACTGCAGCGGATTTGCCCAACCCCCCTGCGGAGGTGACAAGGGAAGATCCACCAGAGACCAAGACTGCCATCGAGGTGCTTTGGTCACCTGTGACCCTCGACGCTGACACTGGCGGCTCTTTGGTAATCGGTTACCGAGTGTACGCCAACACGGGCATTGATGACAGCCTCTCCCTGGTCTTTGATGGCTCAGGAAGCCCCTCTGTTCGTTCCTTCAAGCATACCGGGCTCGTTCCTGGCAGGCGCCGGGCCGGAAAAGTCGATTCTTTCCAACACCAGTTATCAGTCACCCCTCTTTCTTAACATGCTCAGAGTTTCCATTTGTCCTGCCCTGTGTGCAAAGACATTAGGATGATTTCGAGGCTGTTTAGAATCCTCGGCCCTTGCCAGCAATATGCAAGATTATTCAAGCGGAGTAGGTTTTAGCGCTATCAGGCGCTATCCGACTCGTGTGCTCACCCGAGGCGGTACTGGTACCAGGTGGCTAGCGTCAGCAGCGTGGGCGAGGGTTTGCGCAGCAACATTTCCACCTTTCTGGCCGCGGAGCCACCGGCAGCTCCCCTGCAGCCGCGTTTTGTGACCGCCGACTTTGGGTCCATCACCATTGGCCTCGACCCGCCGCCCTCGGACGGCGGCTCCCCCATTGTCCGTTATGCTATCTACCACAATGACGGAACGGTGAACGGCCTGCTGACTACGCAGGTGTTGGTTTGTGACATGTCCCGCACAGACTTTGAGGTGCCAAACCTTCTGCTCGGGCGTGACTACCAGATCCAGATCCAAGCACATGCTGACTGCCCCTCCGGCACTGGTACTTCCCTTCATGCTTTTGACACGGACGGCATTTGTGTGGATGACACTGCCTGCACCCTCCCAGGAGCCAGGAGCGGAATTGCGCTCTATACCACGACCGATGTGCCCGACATCGTCGCTCTGTCAAAGGTGGATGGCAGTCAGACCCGATCGACCGTGACATTTAGGTGGAGTCCACCGGGGACAGATGGAGGAAGCCCCATCACCAGCTACGAGCCGTACCGCGACGATGGGCTTGGCGGTGACTTCGTGCGTGTGGATGTGCTTCCCACGAACTACTTCGAGGTGGATACTGACCTATCAGAAACTGGGAACGAGTACAAGTACTCCGGCTTGGTCACGGGTCGGCGCTACAACTTCTTCATGGCGGCGTGCAACAAGCGCGGTTGCCGCAGCGGCACTATCCTTGGGCCTTTGACGGCAGCAGCGCCACCAAATCAGCCAGATCCGCCAGTGGCAACTGCCACATCTGCGAGCCCCGCTGTGATCAACTTCACCTGGAGTCCACCGGACAATGGCGGCATGCCCATTTTGAAGACGGAGATTCAGAGGGATGACGGCCAGGAGAGCACTTTGCCATCTAAAGCTTGCTAGGACTATGCTCAGTACCACTTTCATTTCTTGGCTTTCTTCCTTGCATCACTTTTTTAACAAAAGGCTGGGGAAGCTGTGCTTCGTGCTGCGTGCTGTGTGCAAAGCCGGAATTTCGGCTCTAGCTGTCCCAATGAGCGCAGTGGCCCCGCGGCGCTAGAGGTGCCGATCGCCTATTTCTCGACGGAAATCTGATTCAAGCTGATTCAAACTGATTCAAACTGCAGAGACTGAGATTCGTTGCCTGCAAACTGGACTTCGAGCGATGCTCATTGAGCGAAGCGGAAGCCGTTCAAAGTGTTGCAGGCCATGCAGACATCAGGGCTGCTCGCGCAGTTGGACGCGGGCGGCTTTGCCTCAGCGCCTGCGGACAGGAGAATGTGTCGCATAGGATGCACATCTTGGAGTCTTTCCATCTTTCTTTGGCAGGAGCCAAGCACAGATACTAGAGAGCGCCGGCCTTGGCTGTTCCGTTCTAAAGCTTGACAAGGAATGCTGGCTCTTGCTTTCCGAGGCCCTTCTGGGCAGGACAGTTTTTGTTTCACGCAACAGAGGGCGAGCGTTGACTTTGCTGTCCACGCTACACAGGACGTGCTGAGTCCAGGGCAGCCATCACCAGGACATGGGAGAGCAGATTCTCTCAGTCAGTTCAGTCTGGTCAGCATTCACAGTTGAAGAACAGCGTTCCTTGCAATTGGAACTGTGAAGGAGATGCCAAAGCCTCCAGCAGCAAGTTTGCAGCACCTGAGATGTACAATTCGTTTGTTTGGTCGCCCTTCGCGCACAGGTCGTTTTCTTTTGATCTCCGGCATCTCAGGCATCAGATCCGGATGCTTTGCTGATGGATTCTGAGGAGGCCCGAGAATCCAGGATTTCGGGATTAGATTCCTGGCACATCGGAGAGAAGGGTAGACAACCCGCATTTTTGGAATGCGAAGGTAGAGCTTCTGGCGCAGCACGTTGCTGCTGGCGAGGCTGACGAGGATTCCTTGGACGAGGCCCCGACACGCGCATGCGCTAGAGATGTGTCTTGCCTTGGAGAGCCCTTGAGCTTTTCAGCTTTTCAGCTTTTCAGCTTCGGCTTTTTTTTTTTGCGCAAAGTTTCCAGTTCTCTTTGACCGACTTTGCAGGCCGCGCACTTGCTGCTGCAAGCCTTCCCGGCGGCCATGGACCCGGGCGCCTTCGCGATCCCGCCACCCCGATCCTGGGCCGGTGTCGTCCGGGCCCAAGCCCCAGCCCCGGCCCCGGCGGCCCCGGCCCCGGCGGCCCCGGCGGCCCTAGGTTCGGGGAGCCCCGGGCACGGGGTGCCGCTGCGTTTCTTGGCGCGGCACCCAGACGTGGCTTGGGAAGTGGACGGCCAGCTGCAGCTGCTGATTGGCGCGGCCAAGCGCACCGGCGACCCCACGGATGTCTGGTGACACAGCGCACGCCTGCGCTGTGAGCCGTGAGAGCCGTGAGCCGTGAGCCGTGAGCCTGCCAAGCAGACCAAAACCGGCTGTGGTAAAGCGAGGGACGTGTGGATGGCACAGCCTTAAGCCGATTGGAGGCAGAAGATTGCAATGGATTCACTGACACGTTGTTTAGATTTGTGCCAAAGGATTAGATGGTCAAGAAGCCATCCATGGGTTTGACTGAGAACTCTTGCTTTGTTCTCAAAGTGCAGTCACTCAGATTCGTGCCAGAGACGCCGCAAACCAGACAAGTTGAAAAGCAGGCAGCCTACTTCTCTGGAAAAGCAGGAATGATTGTCGGCAGCATTGCATTTGCTCGCTTGACTTATGTTGCCCTCATGTGTTGACACCTACAAGTTAGAAATGACTTGCACTTTTGAAGCTGCTTGAGGAGGGCCTGTTCTCCGTGCTCGCAGAGGTGAGTGCACCTGATTTCACCTACTCAGCTGCTCGTCTTCAAACCCTGGGAGTGTAGGACACTGGGATGGTGGGCTCAGGACTCAACCGTGGTCGCTGGCTACACCTATCGGTACAGGCTGGTCGTGGTCGAAGAAAGGTCCACCAGATTCCAAGACACACTTCCGGACACTGGACCAGCCTTGCAGGATTCGAATCCATCACGAGCAGTCGGCGAGCGATTTCAGCAACTTGGCCACCTTCGTGGCAGCAGGCCTGGAAAGTTGCCAAGCGGTGGGAGGTGCCACGTGACTCAAAGACACTCACGACATGCGGTCAGCTTGCAAGGCCTGCCATCGCAACCCACTGCTGTCACGCTGGTGTCGCAGTCGAAGCCTCGGAATGGAACGGCCGCAGCAGCTTGAAATGTTGAAACTAGGCCGTGTTAAAAATGAGGTCGCAGTCCAGCATCACTGTCTCTTGGACCACGCCCACTGCCAATGGGGCAGACATCTACCAGCGCGCCTGCAATTTGGACAGATTCCGCTTGTTTCCATTGAACTCTTCGCATTTTCCAGGTTTATCCTTCGGCGCGATGATGGCCTTGGCTCCACACTCACTCAAATCTATCGTGCCTTGGACTGTTGAGCCATGTTGAGCCTGCCGCCCAAGATGTTGGTCGCTCAAGAGGACATGACACGTCAACGCAGGTGGTGCGGCAACAACATTCCAGAGCAACGACCTGGCCACCGGTCGCTTCTTGACTCAGATTGGCTGAATGCTGCTGTTTCTGATTTGCAGTTTGCCACAGCCCTCTTGCTGTCTGACAGCTCTTACCAACAGCCACTTGCTCACACAAAGTATGTCCATTTTGTCTTGGAGCAATGCGGAGTCACGGAATGCGACAATGCTTCTATGTGCGAGGTGAGGACTCTGCAACAAACCGTCACCACAAGCCACACACCAGAACAACGCCTGAAGTTTGAATCGACCACCTCTTTGGCTACCCTCAGCGTTCCAGGCGCTGCTTGAACTAGTTTAGGCGGCAGGCCTCAACACAGACGATCCCGGGGTCCCAGCAAGCTTGAGCTGTGGCGACGGGAAAGGGTCGCGGGTTCGCTTCGGTCCTAGTTGCTGGCTCGCTTCGGTCCTAGTTTTCATCTCGCTTCGGTCCTAGTTTCCTTACTCGCTTCGGTCCTAGTTTCTTCGCCGTTGACTATGGTGTTTGAGAGGCAACATCCTTGACCCCACCCCACCCGGCATGTCTTGTTGTTAGGTGTTTGAGAGGCAACATCCTTGTCGACCCCACCCCGCCCGGCATGTCTTGTTGTTAGGTGTTTGAGAGGCAACATCCTTGTCGACCCCACCCCGCCCGGCATGTCTTGTTGTTAAGTGTTTGAGAGGCAACATCCTTGTCGACCCCACCCCGCCCGGCATGTCTTGTTGTTAGGTGTTTGAGAGGCAACATCCTTGTCGACCCCACCCCGCCCGGCATGTCTTGCTGGTAGGTGTTTGAGAGGCAACATCCTTGTCGACCCCACCCCGCCCGGCATGTCTTGTTGTTAGGTGTTTGAGAGGCAACATCCTTGTCGACCCCACCCCACGCGGCATGTGTTGTTGTTAGGTGTTTGAGAGGCAACACCCTTTGCGTGTGTCCTGTTGTTAGTGCTCAAAAAGCTACCTTCCACTGCGCCTGAAGTGATCCAAAAATTGCGACAGAAGTGATCCGCAAATGCTCAAACTACGACCAAAGTGAGTGGATTTCAGCTGCGACCAAAGTGATCCAAAAACTGCGACCGAAGTGATCCCCCCGCCACGGGAAAGCAACCGGGATTGTGATGTGCCCCCTTTGCAAGTGTTGATTCTGAGGCTACTACTCCTTCACCGTTGCGGCCCGGAATGCAGCAGGCGCTTCCAGCGGATGCGATGCGCGAGTGCGTCGAGTGCGTCGAGCTCGTTTGAGGTGAAGGCCCCGAGAGCGTGGTGCAGAGATTTCTTTCGGCTTCGATGCCGAGCCCTGTCGGCCAGTCAGGGCCCAAAGTCAAAGCCATGTCATGTGAGACCGGTTGCACGGCCTGTTGAGAACCGTCCAATGCACGATTTGTGCAGGCCGGTTCTGACCACGTCTTCCTGCTCTGGGGGGTCGGTCAGCTTCAAATGGACCGTTCCAGAGGACCGTTTCAGATGGCCGCAGTCCTTGATGCTTCAGACTGAAGCCTTCATCGAAGCTCTCAGAGTCGGATGCCCTTAGGACGATGGTGGATGCCCGGTGCCGTTTGCTCAGGGCCTGAGCCAGGCTCGGCTTTATGGCTGGCCGAGCCCAGGATTCGCTATCGAGTTCTGCGAGATGGCACTCCCACGGGCACAGAGGCGAGAAGCATTTTTGCATTTGCAGTCTTTGCTTTGCTTTTTGTTTTGCTTGTCCCACAGGTGCCGTCAACAACCATTACCTACTTCACAGCAGGCGCCGTCCTTCTCGAACCTGTTGATGCCGCCCAAGGGAAGCCCCAGTGTTTTTCTTCGCGTGCGTGTCCGAAGGCCTTGAATGTGCAACTGCATATACCTGGAGCGTCCAAGCAAAGCCAGCGCCACAGATGGGCTCATCTTGGGATAATCACGTGCTTCGCTTCACGGCAAATCCCTTGATGCATGTGAGGAATTGCCTGGACACGTGGGGCCGAAGCCTTTGAATCGGCGAGAGGCAAAAGGGTTGTGCAAAACAATGTTAGACGTTGAGAACGATTGAATGGGATTTGTCAATGGTTTGGGCGTTTTGTCAAAAAGACCGGCATGCAAACGCATTGTTAACAAGCATAACAAGACTACATTCTTGTGGCAGAGCCAGAATAACGATAGCAGCAGCCAACAGCAGTGACCATAGCAATGACAGGAAAAGAAAGGTAACGTTCCACAGCAACTATTGTTGAATTCCACTCTCATTTGGTGAATTTCATATCCACTTCTCACGTCAAAGACGCAAGTTGACCGAGGCAGCGACTCACCCTACTTGGAGACCTACACGGCATCCCTCCCTGGTCAGGTGACAGGATTGAATGCCTTGGACTTATTCGCCAGGCGATTTGCATTGGGCGATTTGGGATGGGACGGATCCATCCGCCAATCTGCTGAGTTTGGGGATGTCCCGAGGCCACCCACGTGTCTGCGACGGAGCTTCTGTTCAACTGGATGCCCCTTCTCGGCACCACGGAGCCGGATGCTCAGTGCAGATTCAGTGCGTGCGAGCACTAGGAGCAGAACTCAGCTTGCAGTTCTCCCTAGTTCGACTGTTCCGGCATCCTTTCGTTTAACATTCGTCACACCATTTGATGACCCTTTGCAAAGGCGGATAATGTGTTAGCGTAGCTCGACAGGCTTGTCATTTCATTCCACACAGCTTGTGAAAGCTCTCTGGCCTGAGGATTGGTTCCACTGATTACGGCATTTTGAAGGGCTACGAGCTGTGGATGGACGACGGGCTTGGAGGCCGAAGGTTTGCTTGAGCTGTTGGCTGCTCGACTGCATCACTGATGCAGCTAGGCAAGTTTACCCGCGCGTACGACGGCTACAACAAGCCCTTCGAGACCTACTTTGTGGCAACTGGTTTGGTGCAGCGCCCTCAGACCCAGGTCCATGTCCCAGCCTGTGCTTGCGCATTGTGCGAAAGGCCAGGGAGGACCTACCGCTCTTACGTGCGTGGAATGAACGTGGTCGGCGCGGGTCCAGACTCCGACGTGCGCCTGGCACATTGGGCGGATGGAGTGAATTTTGGCAGCCCAGTGAGTGAGTGCTTTGCCAGGTGCTGTACCGTGCCATGGCCGTGGAGCCGTCTGCCCCCAGCGACCTGCAGGCGCGAAAGCTCGCGTTTTGCGACGTTGAGGTTGCACGCACATGTCACCAAGCGCGTGCTCGCAGGTCTCGTCTGCGGGCGCCGAGACAGTGCTGTGCACCTGGAAGCCGCCCCAGGCCAGCTATTGAGAGCCGACTGTCCGAGAGCCCTTGTGCACATTGCATCCCAATGCATCGTGTTGCGAGAACAACGGCGGGGAGCCTGTGCTTCACTACGTGCTGGAATACGCACCAGCTCTGCTCTCACCAGAAGTCACTTTCACAGCTTCTTGCAGGCTTTGCTTGCATTGCGAATCGGTCGCTGAGGAGCCGCTCTTCAACACATGGCAGGAGCCTGCTGATTGTATACACCACATGTTGAAGTTCATGTATGGGGCGTGGGTCTGAGCTAACGACTGGACATATCCATGCAAGCGGGAGGAAGACGGGCCGTACCCAGATAACACTCAGCACGGAATCTTAGCGGATGGACCATCGTCGCCGAATGCAGAAGTCCTCCGCGCCTGGTGCCTCTGAGGTTCACCAAGCTGATCTACAACCTGAACCAGGGAACAGTGTAGTCTTCTCAGCTTGGGGCTCAATTTTCTTAATTGCAAACGATTTCAGCATCAAGGTATCAGTTCCGCATCAAGGCGGTGACAAATGCGGGAGGCGCATGTGACACCCTGCACGGGCAACCTGCATCGGCCTGGAACGCTGATGTTTAGGTGGCTCCTACTCCAACGTTGTTTCGCATGTGGTGGGCACTGCCAGATGCCCAAAGTTGCTCAAAGGTCCGCTCAGATGCAACGCACCAGCGTGCTATTCCAAAGCGCCAAGAGACCAAACCTGGCCGCAGCGAGGCTCCCACAGCATCCCCCACTGGCCTGACTCGTGCCGCAACCACTTCAGCCAGGGCCCAGGGTATGGTTTCTCCAGCTCAGCCAAGGGCCGTGCACAGGCGCACTCTGCGCACTTTGTGCACTCTGCTCACCCTGCATCCAAGATCCAATACTTTTTGGCAGAGCTGGGGCATGCCTGTTCAGGTCTCAATGACTTGGGCGTGGTCTCCGCTGCCAGTCGCAGAGGCTTGGAGCTTTCAGTGCAGTAAGTTGGCAATAAGCATGCTTTTGGCATGCCCGCTTGTCCTGCGTGGGCTCTTCGGCCAGACTGGTGGTGCTCCCCTGGGTGGGTACCGCTTGTACATGAACTCTGGACGAGATGCTGGGGACCTTGGCACGTCCTTTCTGTATTTCTGCACCGCTTTCTCAGGACCTCACTTCGTTGGTCTACGATGGGAGTGACAAGCCTTCAGTCCCGCCCTCGGGTTCGGCCATCCTGTTGAACATAGTGCAGACACAGAGTGTTCAGGCCACAGAGTTCACTGCCACGTCTTTGGTGTGCGGCAGAGTGTACAAGGCAGAGGGTTGCCTTTGCTCATCACGCGCGCAGCCGAGCGTGCGCAGGCAGAGGTGTCGGCCGTGACCAGCATCGGTGAAGGCAACGGGTCGGGACATCTGCGGAGAGTCCGAAGACTGGCGGCTGAGGCGCTCGCAGCGCAGTCGCTGCCTTCAAGCTGGCACACACGCCATCACAGCCCGCAGCCTCGGTGCGTGAGAGAGAGATTTTGGGGATTTGAACAAAAGCAGTGTTGAACGTTGTGCAGCTTGCTTTTTGCGCAGGTTTCGTTGGCTTTGCCGCAGTCTAGCTTTTCAATTCCAAAGCACCTAGCGAAGGGGATTTTTCAAGAAGTTTTTGCCAGATTGCTTCGTATTGTATTCAATGCATTTTTTTGGCCTCGTGTGTTTGTTGTTTGTTCGAAATTTTGGCATATGTGTTTTCATCAAGTCAACTTTGAGATTGGCGATCTTTCGGTTCCTTCCTGCAGTTTCTGAGGGGCTGACAGGCCCTTGCCCACTGAAGCAGACATGGCCCATCAAATCTATCTATTCTCGTACCATCCTGAAGGCAATATTACCCGACCGCCAGTCAACCACAAGAAAAGGCCATCAACCCAGAGGCTCTCACAGCCGTAAACTCTCCCGAGCTCGTGCTTCCTATTCCACGGCTCGCCTGAGCTTGCCGATCTTAACATGCAACTCAGCCGCTGCCGTTGTTGTCACTGGCGCCAACCAGGATATTTAGACATGACCCGCTTTTTGCAATCAGCAAAAGCTGAAGCTGAACCGCCACACTTGAGATAAACGGCGCCTTGAGGCCTCGTTCAGCGAGGGCGGTGGCAAGTAGCACAAGCTCGATCACGCTGGCCAGTTGGGACGTTACCGGGCATGAACAGTCGCCGTGCTTGGCCAGGCCTGGGACATTCCGGAGAGCACCGGCTGCACTGAGCTGGAGTCCATGCCACAGCTGGGGATTTGGAGCATGGCGAACGAGTGACGCACAGACAGAATCGCCCAGACAAACAGACCCGGACACACAATCGCACAGATGACGCGCAGACAGAGACGCACAGAGACACACAGAGACGCACGGGGACGCAAGGGGACGCAAGGGGACGCACGGGGACGCACGGGGACGCACGGGGACGCACGGGGACGCACGGGGACGCACGGGGACGCACGGGGACGCACAGAGACGCACAGAGACGCAGGGGGACGCACTGGGACGCACGGGGACGCACGGGGACGCACGGGGACGCACGGGGACGCACGGGGACGCACGGGGACGCACGGGGACGCACGGGGACGCACGGGGACGCACAGACGCACAGAGACGGCACGAGGACGCTGAGAGATGCACAGAGACGTACAGAGACGCACGGGAACGCACAAAGACGCACAGATTGTGAACACTGACACGACAGAGTGGCAGTAGTCCAGACCAGAGTCAGGGACATGTGATTGCCACGCTGGATGTCGGTGCCTGAAGGTTCTACCGCATTGAGAGGGACTCAGGGCAAGGCTTTCAAGCCATCGCAAATGTGCCCGGTGCTCGGTGCAGATGTCAAAGCGAACCTTTTCTCCGTGAAACGACTGGCGCAGGTCTACTCCAGTGCAAACGTACACGGACAGCGATTCGCTGAGGCTCGTGTTTGCGTTTAAGAGAAGCAATGATAGTGATGCATGCGTTTTGACAAAGTCCGAACGCTGGCAGTCCTGGTCAAATGTACATCTACCGCATCGCAGCGCGCAACGAAGCCTTGGAATATTTTGGGTCTCACAGTTCTCATGCCGGCGGCCTGGGTTCGAAGGTGCACACTGGTGCAAGACGTGTGAAAAGACATTCAAGGCATAGGTGCAAGTTGCAAATGCAGGCACGAAATCGTGTCAAGAGCACATGTGGTGCCCCGAGGTCACTGCATTTGCTGCGTCCCTGCCGGGTCTGACACAGAATCTGGGATATGTTGCCTCCACCAGGCCGGACGGATCGAGTGGGATGAGCCCGGGGGGGGGGAGTTGGTCCTAAAGTTTGGTCCTGGTCAGGACATCTATCACCCTGATGTGGGAGCCTCCCGCTGACACTGGTGGCGAACACACCTTAGACGACTTAGATTCCAGGCACTGTGTATGTTTCGGATGTGGACTCTGAATGATTCTGAGGCCATGGTGGACTTCTACCGCGTCCAAGCTGACGACGGACTTGGCGGTTCCTTTGGTGATGTCGCAGTAGTCGCTGGCACCTACACGACCGTGGAGCTTGGCACCTAGTGTCACGCCGAAGGGCAGCTTGGCGTGCCGTGAGTTGCTGCGCATGTGGCTTGAGGTATTTGACGCCGGGAAGGCCGTACCGATTCAGGGTAGCGGCAGAGACTGTGGTCGGAACCGGGCCCTACACGGCCGTCTTCCAGCAGGCATGGAGCCTTGTTCAGGGACATAGCGAGAGAAACGATGGACACAGCCCACCTTGGAATGCTTCAGAGCATGCAAGCTGCAAGTTCTTGCAGGTGAGGCAGTTTCATGCTGAGACATTGCGTGCAGGTTGTGGCCGCTGTGTCGGGGAATCCACAAACTCCGCTGGCCGATGCCTCAGTGCGCGCAGCAATAGTGTTGGATCGCGTGGCGCTGCTTTCGCCGTGGAAGGGCTTTCACCGACGACAAATCATCGTCAGCCCGCAGCGCCAAAGTTCCAAGGTGGAGACAATCGACGGATACACGGACTGGCACGAGAGTGGCATGGGTATGGATGAGCTAGGCATGAGGGCAGGCAACGCTTGCGGCACTTTCGATTGGTGCCCAAAGGCCCAAAGGTATCGGAGCTGCAGTGCTTGAGGTGAGCCCCCTGCGTGCAGGACCGCATGCGAGTTACCTGGAACGAGCCGTTGGAAAATGGTGGCTCATTGACGCGTGCACCTCAATGCCCCTTCCCATGTCCGCGCCAGAAGGGCAGAGCGAAAGTGGGAGACAGACAGAGATGAAGTTGGCAGGAGGGAAGGTCGACGTTGGCGGTTTAGCCTACTGCGCAACGTAGGAAGCTGTTTCAGGCTGGGCTACAAAGTCACATTCGACGGCCACTGTGACCGGTACGACGGCACCAGTGTATCTTCAATCACATCAGTCCATGGCTTGGTCAGATACAAGAGAGGCAACAGTGCTATGCCTCGATCACGTCTGCGCTTTCCGATCTCTGGGCACCGTAGATGCTTGTGATTGCAGGTGCAAATCATTTGCTCCACTGGAAAGTGCACCACTCAATATTGACAGTCCTTGTTTCCATAGCTTGCTTGTGTGATTTTGGTGTGTGTATGCCAAGGCATCACTTCATTACAGTGTCTGCGCGCAACATTGTGGGCCGCGCACTGCGTCGTTCAGCTGTCCAGCCCTTCAGTCGAGCAGCCTGAGGCTGGGGCGGTCCGAGCCCATCGGTGTCGCGGGTTTGCGGCGCCGAGCCATCTGCCCCACGCCCGGATGCAGCGAAGCGAGCGATTGGAAGCGCTCAGAGTCTGGACTTCCAAGGCTCCGGTGAACTTGAGGCTGAAGATGAACACACCGGCAAAGCAGCGAGCCTTAGAGTGTGGCATTGGAATGACTTACAGGTCTGACATTGACATCGACTTGGTTGCTTGTCGAGAGTTGGAAATTGGGGATCAGGCCCTTGGACATGGTTGACCAGCGAACACCAAGCTCGATGACCATTGAGTGGAATGCTGGCGGCTCAGCTCCGAGCCTTTGAGCCTTCAGTGATTCAGCTCAGCATTTCGCGGGAGTGGAATCCGAGTCCCAGGATCCGCAGATGGATGGAGGGAGTGTTGTCAAGTCTTACCAGCTCTACCGTGATGTTGGAGCCTCAGACCGTAGAATCTGAGCGTGCTGCCCGAGTTTGCGCAGGCTGGGGACGCCTCGGGCATCTACACTTTGGCTTATGCCACGCGCCCATAGCACACGCATGGGCTTCCACACCTGGCATTTCTTCCGCCAGGTTGGCAGCAAGCGCAGTGCCACCATCCACTCCTTGACCAACGGTCGCACCTACCGCTTCTATGCCGTAGCCGTCAACGATGCCCAAGCCCTATGGCATGCACGGTACCATGTATGGCATGTGTGAACAAGCTGACCAGATATCGTTTTTTTCCAGGTGGGAGCAGGAGATCGCACTAGCGTCTTCGCAGCGGAGATGCGCTGCACTCCGCGCGCGCTGGTGGCCGCACCGTACAAGGCGCAACGATATCCGTCTCTCCTCGTCTCCTTCTGGCTCTTTGCGTCTCCTTGAGGTTTCTGGCAGCCCATGGTCCCTGTCTCTGGCCTGGCCAGAGACAGCAGACAACTGCGGCCGCGCAGTGCTGGGGCGCTCGGACAGGGGAAGGGCCTAAGGGACGGATGTCTCAGTCTCTGCCTAACTCTTCTGCAACAGGTCTGGCTACCGGATCTACCGCGACGGCAATTTGGTCCACCCGCTCTCCAATCAGTTTACTGCTATGCCAATGCTGGTGGGCCTTGTAGGCTGGCATATGGGATTCGAAGTCTAATCTCCAAGCCTGTTTTACGTTGCCTTGTCTGAAACCACGGAAAGGGCTCAGACAAGCTCAGACAAAGTCAAATCTTCGCGTTGCCAGCTTAAAGCATGTAAATCCATTGCTTCGTAACAGGATGTCTATAACGATGCTGCGATGCTTGTAAAGCCCTGGAGCTTGCGTTGTGCCGAGGGGGTCACCCTTTCCGTGACAGATGGGACTGGGAACTCATCAAGAACTTTCTTCGTACTGAAACAGGAGCAATTCACCTAGCAACATGCGAAACAGTCATAGATTTCAACTGGCGACACTGAGCCTGAGCGCCAATGTTGGATCTCCAGCTCAGCCAGTCGAAGGCACAGATCAAATAACTCTGCGATTCACTGCTGGGACATCTGGCTCTGCCTGGGCTTCTACCTCGGTGTGACTGGGTCTTTGTGTTGCAAGGCATAGAACATATGCCATGGATTTGCCGCTCGCCTAGTTGTTCTTCCGCCTTGATAGTGACTGAGGCCATTGTTGTGGCCGACGACGTCTGTAGCCCAAAGCATTTTCTTGCAGTACTTGCAGAGCGCACTGTGCAAGCATAGTTGTTTGCAGTGCACGGATGCTTTGCAGTCACATGAAAATCTTCCGGCGCTTTGTCTTGCCGCGCTCGCCGGCCCGAGATGACAGCATGTAGGACGCAAGCTTGACATTGGGCCATGCCCTTGTGGCTTCACTCGCTCCATGTCCGAAGTGATGGGGTTCACTCCCACAAACTGGCAACAGATGGACGGAGCCGGGGTGATAAGTTGCTAGCTTGCCTCCGTGACATTGCCAACAGAGGATGTCCAGAAGAGAAGCATCTGAAGCGAGACGGTCTCGGTACGGGAGACCTGCGTTTGGCAGACGGACATATTGAGATAGGCGAAGACGTGCCTTTCAGAATACCTTTGCTCTTTGCTGACATTGCTTGGGTGGGAGCACAGCAGCCGGGCAACAATTCTTGTGAGAGCGCTTTCGACCGTTTGGCCACGGAGGAGGCTGAGTATGGCACGTTTTTTGCTGTAGCGCCTCGATGGAAGAGAATGCAGATGGGCGTCCATGCCATTGACAATCCGAATGCTGACGAACTTTGGATCCTTTGCGTGGCTTGGCAGCAAGTGTTGCAAGGAAGCTGTCCCTGAAGTATGACCAAGGCCAGCTTCATACCAGGCTCAAATGACATGGACACACTGCTGGCCTACTTTGCCAAGCACGGCTGTTTGAGGCCGGGGAGCCGCTCTGGCACTTTTGTCATTCGGGACAAACGATCTTCGAAAGTCGTGCGCAGGTGGGACATTGACAAGGAGTATTACTTTCACAGACACGTTCTGGGCAGGAGCCTGACCAGTGTGATACGCCCAGGCAGGTCAGTATCGCTTCCCAGATTGCTCTCCTCTTAGAGTTGCCTTTGATTCCCCATGTTGCCCGTTTGACCGTCTTTACACGTTTTGCTTTCTGAGACTGAGCAGGCTATCGGCAGCGAATCTTTCGCGATGTTGGCGAGCTGGACGAGCAGAGCACCTCGGAGGTTGGGAGTTTCCAAAGCACGACAAACGCCAAAGAGCGCCGACGCCTTAAAGCGGGGAACACAAATCGCCCTTGTAGCCGTTGTCATTTGAAGGCTGCACTTTGCGCGTGGCACGCATCCTCTTCCTCCTTAGAATACGTTCTCAACACTTTCACGCATGCTTCTCAGATCCCTAACGGCTTCAAAAGGGTCTCAAGGCTATAATTACTGTGCAGCCATTAGGCCCTGAGCGTTGCTGTGCTATAAACCCTTGCGTTCATATTTTGTACAGGCCATACAAGAACATACAATAACACAGGCCCGCGCAAGCCAAACATGCACGCGCGCAAGCGCGCAAAATCATGTTGTAGGAGTATCCTTGCGTCAGCTGCGCGCAAGCGAATAGTACTGGCAAGTCTCAAAATTTGTGGCTGTGTATCACAGTGCTAGCCATGTTGAATGTATCCAAAGTGTCCTTCGCGTACTGCGCTTGTCTGAAAAGTTTTAATTTGCGAGCTGGAGCTTGCAAAGTGCACTTCGTGGTTTACCGTATTCAACCGCACGCGCAAGCCATCGCTGTGGCGGCGTGCGAAAATATTGATAAGCACGTCTTGCGTAAGCCTCGCGTATGCTCTGCCATCAAACGCCTCTGCACATAAGCTGATGAGGACGAGGTCGATTCCACGGACAAGCCGGTTGCTATCAAGATGATCAAACATCCAGTGCTTTGCTCAGTTGCTGTCAAGCTTCAAGCGGACGATCCAATGAAGTTCGGGCGCTCATGCATCCATGTGTCATGCTTTTTTAAGGAACGCGATGATGACGCAGCATTGATTGTCAACGAAGTGCGCTTTCTCTCAAGCACGCAGCACCCAAATATCATCAAGCTGCTGGGTACGTTTTGCGCGCAAGGTCAAGGCGGCAAGCGAGGCATGTCGACGGTGTCGAAGGTGTCGTGGCTCCTGGTGCTAGAACGCTGTCACGGTCGCTTGTCCGACCACGTCTGCAGCACGGGTCCACTGGAAGGCAACGCCGGCCAAGCGTCGTCCATTGCGCTGCTTTCTGCAGTCGCACATCTACACGCCCGGCAAATCATCCACAGAGACATCCGACCCCAGAACGTCTTGCTGAGAAAGACCGATGGAAGCGAGACAGCCACTACCGTTTCTGCCACTTCAGCCACTTCTCACCTGCAGCCAGTCCTGGCGAACTTTGGACTTGCCTGTGCCTTCGACGCCGTGCCAGCCCGGAAGGTTTGCACAAGCTATGCTGCGCCCGAAGTGCTGGAAGGGCTCGGACCAGAGGGGCCAGCCAGCGATGTGTTCAGCAGCTTGCCTCTATGGCTTTTGGAGGGCTAGCCATGCCAAAGCGGGCTTGTGAAGCAGTTATGCAGTGTGAGCCCCTGTGCCCAGGCACGGGCGCTACCATGCTCTTCGCACTCACTGGTTTGGAGCATTTTGCTGAAGCCGCGCGGGTTGATGCCTTAGGTATGCCAGAACATGGACCTTGAGGGATATCCCTGCCCAAGTTGCTCGGCATAGCCGAGGTTACCCGATGGCAGCAGTCTTTGACGGGCAATCTAAGCCTCGATGAGCGTGCTGCTAACAGACTGTCGGAGAGCATGGCTCGCAACTCAGCACGAGTGCTCCAGTTGCCGCGCGCGCCGCGCGCCGCGAGCGACGTTGCCACGAGGCGTGCATGTTGCATCGCTTGCTGGCGAGCAGCGCCAAGAAGAGGCCCTCGGCCCAGGAGGCGAGGTGCGTCTCGAGACGTCTCGAGACGTTTCGAGAGGTCTCGATGTCTGAGGCCTGCCGCACGCTGTGGGATGAGGCGCCGGAGGTGCAAGACATCGTTGGGCCGCAGGCAATCGCCAACCTGGCGGCAGGCGCCGTCTCAAAAAATACACGTCACCATGTTCAATTTCTGCATGTCACATTCCTATACTTCCTTCACTTCTGTCGCTTTCTGCCACTTCCTCATTTCATTCGCTGTTTCACTTTCTTCCACCTCCTTCGCTTCCTGTACTTCCCGAACTTCCTTTGCTCCCTGTACTTCCTGTACTGTCTTCACTTGTGACACTTCTCTTTACGTCCTTTACTTCCTCCACTTCCTTAGCTTCCTTAACTTTTGTAGCTTCCTTCACTTTATTCGCTTCCTTTACTTGTGTAACTGCCTTCACTTGCTTCACTTCCTTTACTTTTGTAACTTTTTCCTTCACTTCTTTTACCCTTGTCACTTGCTTCCACCTCCTTCACTTCCTTCACTTCCTTGACTTCTTTCACTTCCTTAACTTTTGTCACTTTAAATTCCTTTTACGTTTTGTCGCTCCAATTTCTTCACTTTTGTCTCTTCTCTTTACGTTTTTTACTTCCTTCACTTCCTTCACTTCCTTTACTTCCCTCACTTCCCTCACTTCCCTCACTTCCCTTTCTCTTGTAACTTCCTTGGCTTCCTTCGCTTCTTTCACTCTTGTCACTTTCTTTCACCTCCTGGACTTCCTTCGCTTCCTTGACTTTTGTCACTTCCTTGAAGTTCCTTTGCTCCTTTCACTTCCTTAACTTTTGTGACTCCTTTCCACCTCCTGGACTTTCCTTGACTCCTTTCGCTCCCTTTACTGCTTTTTCTTTTTTAACTCCCTTCTGTCACTTCCTTCCTCGACTTCCTTCACTCTTGTCACTGCCTTCCACTTCCCTCAGTTCCATCACTTCCTTGACTTCCTTTACTTCCGTGACTTTTGTCACTTGGAACTTCACTGTTTGAAATTCCTTCGCTCATTTCACTTCCTTAACTTTTGTCGCTTTCTTACACCTCCTTCACTTCCTGCAGTTCCTTACTTTCTTCACATTTGTCACTTCTCTTTATTCACTTTCTTCACTTCCTTCACTTCCTTCACTTGCTTCACTTGCTTCACTTCCTTCATGTTGTAGCTTCCTTCACTTCCTTTACTTCCTTTACTCTCGTCACTTCCTTTACTCTCGTCACTTCCTTCCACCTCTTTCACTTCCTCAACTTGTGTCACTTTCTTTTACTTCCTTCACTTGCTTTATTTGCTTCCCTCTTTTGACTCCCGCTCCAATTTCTTCACTTTTGAAACTTCTTTCACTCATTTTACTTCCTGCACTTCCTTGAGTTCTTTCAATTCCTTGACTTCCTTCACTTTTGTCACTTCCTTGAATTCCTTGCACTTTCTTCACTTCCCTCATGAACTACTTTTGTCACTGCCTCCACTGTTGTCACGTTCTTCACGTTTTCCATTTTCTCCACTTCTTTCACTTGCTTTTCTTCCTTCACATGTCTCACTTCCTTTACTTCCTTCATTTTGTCACTTCCCTCACTTACATCAAACTTGTCAATTTCTTCACTTTCTCGACTTTCTCCACTTCGTTCACTTTCTTCGCTTCTTTGCTTTCTTCGCTTCCTGCACTTATGTCAAATCCTTCACTCCCTTCACTTTCGACTTTCTCTACTTTTTCCACTCCTTTTCAATGCCTCACGTCTTTCACTTCTTTTACTGTCTTAGCTCCTTTCACTTCCTTCCCTTGTGTCACTTCCTTCCACTGCCTATCACTTGCTTCCTTCACTTGCGAAGGAAGTCAGAGGAGTTAAGACAGTGAAGGAAGTGAAGGAAGTGACAAAAGTGACAAGAGTAAAGGAAGTAAGAAGTTAAGACAGTGACAAAAGAATCTGAAGGAAGTGGAGGAAGTAGAAGAAGCGGAGAAGTGACACAAGTGAAGGAATGCTTTTTCACTTTCTCCTCTTTCTCCTCTTTCCTCACTTCCTTCACTTCCTTCACTCCTTTCACTTTTGTCACTCCCTTCACTTCCTTCACTTCCTTCACTTCCTGTAATTTTTCACGTCAATTACTTTTGTCACTTCCAGAAGGAAGTGACAAGAGTGAAGCAAGTGACAAGCGTGATTGGAATAAAGGAAGTGACAGAAGTGAAGGCAGTACAGGTCGCGGAGGAACTGAAGAAAGCCACAAAGGCGAAGAAAGTGACAAAAGTGAAGGACGTGAAGCAAGTGAAGGAAGTGAAGAAATGAAAGAAGTGAAGGGTTCAAAAGAAGTAAGGGAAGTGACGAAAGAAAAGGAAATTACAAAAGTAGCAAAAGTGAAGGTTTGTCACTTCCTTCATGTGTGTCACTTCCTCTACATTAATCGCTTTATTCACTTTCTTAAAGCTTTGGTCACTTCCTTGCCATTTGTCGCATCCTTTCCTCCCTTGACCCTTGCCACAGCTTGAGGTCCTTTGGTCCCTTGCCACAGCTTGTCTTCCTTCACTTCCTGCACTTCACTCTTTGTGGCTGCAACGCGTCGGGGCTTTGGCGGACTTGAGCGGATCAATTTGCCAGGCGAACCAAGAGCCTCCCTTCCAGCCATTTCTGAATGCACGGAGGACGAGGAAGGCCGGGTGCCTGGCTGTAATGCGTCAAACCGCACGCTGGCAGCGGGCGGCCAACTGCATTTGATCTGAGGCAGCTGTGGCAAAGGCTCGGCTTCTCGCCTTCTCGCACGTCTCACATGAAACGCTTTGCTTGTCATGGCCAGGCCACAGCCAGTCTATGCCAGGCACATGTTTGGTTCCCAGTGACAAGTCTTGCAGCGCCTTAGCCAGGCCCGCTGGATGGCTACGCTCCGAAACCACCTGCAGGCGCAAGCTGGAAGATGTCTGCTTGATCAGCTAAGCTGGATGCTGCAGACATCGGCACCATGCGCATCAAGCCGCCTTCGCAGCCAGCCCCGGAGTGTGCGGAGCTGAGAAGTTTGCATATAGATCGAAGAAATCACTGCAGGTCCCCTTGTCGAAAAGTCTCCAATGCTTGCAAGGTCCAAGAAAGTGCCGTTCTTTCGTGCACACGCTCAGCCGGCTGTACGATTGACGTGCTGGACCTTTGGGTTCAACTACACCGAGCCAGTGTCGAAGTGTGAGTCGGCCCCCCTTGAGGGAAGACTCGTCAATTTTCCTCCGGATGGGGGTAAGTAGGGACTGGGGCAATTTTTTCCATGCGGCTGTATCGCATGCTGTGGCCCCACTGTAGCCGCATTTTTATACAACTTGCCGCGTGACTTCTGGTCTCGGCCGAAGGCTCAAGCGAGGCTTTGCTGCGTGCACTCAGGACAGAATTGGTCCACAAGCAAACATTTGCCACTTTTGCTCCCAGTCCGGCGTCTGCGCGCAGCTCTGTAACTCTTTGTACTTTTTGTACTGCGGTGGCATAGTCGCAGCCGGGCAATTGCCCAGCGCAATCACTGCCATTTCCATTTGGAGCCGGCGATGCTGTAAGACGCACACAGCAAATTCCTGCAGCTTGCTGCCTGCATCCGGCAGTTTGTGTTTAAAGGGCCAGGCACCGTGACACCGTGGCACCGTGGCATTTGGCATGAGCATGCGAGCATGATTTATCTTAAACCGCTTTGGGTCCACGGTGGAATCGAAAGGTGCAGAGGGTCAGAGGCAGTCGATGCAAAGTTCTGTCAACATCTCAAAGAGCTGTTCAATCAGTCCCTGGCCAAAGGTCAGAGGATGGGCCAAATTCGCGTATCAGTCTCACTCCAACCTCCCTAGCGCTGAAACCGCCACCCATTGGCGATGGCCAATGGCCAGTGGTCTTGTTAGGAAGGTAATGTGGTTGCGGAAGAATGTTTGCTTGAATCAGGGTAAGGAAGCTAAACAGCTCTTGATGGAGCCAAGCAACAATTTTATGAGTTTTGAGCCGCGCATCAATACCCACGCACAATGGCACAGCAAAAGAAGTGGTGCCGGCTGTGCTGTCTATTCAGCTGACCTTTTCCTTGTCCCTCTAGCGTTCAAGCTCAGGACAGCTTGTACACTCCAGCGCCCACCTCAACTCCGTCAAAGGTGGGCCGGAAAGCATCGAGCCGCTCGCTGCTCGCTCGCTCCGTCGCTTGATCGCTCGGTCGCTTGATTGCTTGCTCGCCTGTTACCCACTTGAGAACACGACGAACAGACAAGCCCTACATGGGTTATGTTACGTGCTTTGCCTTGCAGTGCCTTGCAGGTGAAGGCAGGTGATGGTGCAATCGGGCGGCCGCCGTTGCCTTAAAACAGCATCCTTCCTTCTGGGCTTTGCAGCGGTTTTGTCTGTGCTGTGCTTTGCCCACACCCTCCCAGGAGTTGTCGTGCCACATCGGTTCCTATGACCGCCGACGTTGCACAAGAGTCTACGACTTAGTTTGCACGTGGGGCATAGCTCAACTCCACGACTTAGCATGCACTTGTTGTGCCAGAAGGTTTAACCATGATGGCACAGTGAGCTCACCAGGGGATAGAATAATGAGCTCACCCACGAAAATATTTGGGGTTTTGCAATTTGACTTCTTTTGGGCCTCTGCTATCTGTCATAGATACCAAGGCTTCTGATGCATGGCTGCGGCATGATGGGCATGGGCTGGTGCAGCACATACCATCACACACGCAGATGCATGTCTTTTTCTGCAGTGTGATGATTCATGTTGTGTGCACCCAAAGGTTGCAGCATGCAGGTACTCAGTTTTCGCCTACGTTGAAGCGTATGACGGTTTAGACAATGCAGGATGCCTAATTTAGTCTTTAAGCAACACATGTGGCTCAATACTTGGCAAACTCTTCGAGCAGATTGCGCGACACGACCCAGGATGGAGCCATGTTTGGACCTTTGCGGTTCCAAGTGCCTGCGGCCTCCAACTTCTTTGCCGCCTGAGACTGAGAGACTGAGGCTGTGTTTGCCTCTGGGGATCTGAAGGTTAAACGGGTGTACTGGTGCAGAGGGTACTGTAGTACTGTAGGGTGCTGTTGGGTGCTGGTGTTTTTGCCGGCGGTGTGGTACGCGGGATTTTCCGGTGGCTGGGGACGACGGCGAGGGTGCAGGGGCGGGTCCATGGCACGTCGTCTTTTGAGGTTGAGCCAGCTGTCTCATCTCTGACAAAGGCCAGACTCACGTACTCGCTGGCATCCATATCTTGGGCTCGCAGGATGGCCTCACCGTCACGTACACACCAACAGCCTCCGCAGGCTCAATTGGGCTTCTGTCCTTTCGCATTCACACAGTCACAGAGCTGTCTTGATTCATTGGCAAAGGCATGAGCTACGTGATGATTGCAGCCGAAGCAGATCATGCAACACTCACTCTGCAGAACATCAAGGCGCAAGTGATGTCACTGGGCCGGTGCCCTCCCGTTTGCTGAACAGCCCTGCCTTCAGGCCTTCATGAGCGCTGTTGGGGACGCCACTTGTGACCCGGTGAGCACTGGACGTTTGTAGTTCTTTTGAACATGCCCTGGCTTGAAACAAAACATTCGGGCTTGCCAGCGGACAATGGAACAAATCTTGCGCTAGACAAGTAGACAGGCCACAGACTGCGTGCATTAATGATTCCAGCCTAACCGCACCTCCCATGTTGCCAACGATTCGAAATCGCATGAATATGTCCTGGACTGCGGACTGGAGCACGGTAAACACACTTTTTATAGGAGTGATGTGTACAGGAATCGCATGCCTGAGCTTGTGCCAAGGCAAGTGGAGCGGCTTCGTCAGCCACATGCAAGCAAGTGCCGCTGCCTCAGGCCGACGTAAGCAAAGAGCACATCACTCAAAGTCACCCCAAAGGTGTCTCAATGTCACTCAAACTCGCTCCAAGTCACTTGAGTTGTTGCCAGCATGTGCCAGCTTTTGGACTGGACTTGAAATCATGGATGGCTTGGGACTCTTTAGAACCCTGCACTCCACATGTGTCGCATCAGATCTTTGACTCTTTGGCATGCCTCAAAAAAGGATGCTTCACACTGAGCCAAAAAGAGCTGAGCGGCCAAATCTCGGCCTATCCTTCTTTTGGTTCCGCGTTGGATATGTCGAGTTCATGTGAACCGAGAGGCGAAGCGTGGTGCCAGCTCGCATGCAATTTGAGGGACTGCACATGAGGTAATGCTTACTGGCTGTCGTTTGTACGGGGGCAGCAAATACCGCCTGTTCGTGTACGTGGAGGACCAATTGACCTTGAGCTGTTCCTCTCCAAATTCTTTCCCAGTCGGCCCTGTGAGTTCTGGAATCATTCGCAGGACGGCAGCATGCGTGACGACGGTGTGCTGGCCGACCTCATCGAGCTGGACGTGCCACCATCAAACGACTTCACAGGAGCGCGGAACTTCGGGGCCCCTGCCAGTCAAGTGCGAGACTTGGGAGCCATCCAGAAGCATACTAAGCTAAGCATACTGTATCCTGCTCAGTGCAGGAGCTTACCCTTATCCAAGACTCGACGCTACGTCAGGGCCTTCGTTTTGAGTTGGCGTCGCACTTGCCCGAGTGGGGTCAGTGTAAAATGATTCAAGGCCCACCACCAGCACAGTATCCATTGAGTTTGAGCCACGGGAGGCATGCTTGCTCGTTGTTGCCACCTATGCCTTCATTCGCATTGGCATGAATGTTGCAGGCCAGCGGCATGCTATGGGCTGTGGTGCTCCCTGAGATTGTTGCTTGGACAGCATCCAGAAAGAGAAGGGAGGTGGCAATCCAGAGTTGACTCAGGAAGCACTCTCTGCGACGGTCGCTGGCATCAAAGCTCAGACAGGTGCACTTTGCTTCAAAGCCGGTGCCCGCCTTATGCGAAACGTTTGGTGCCTGTGAAATGGCGCTGAAGCCATGAATTTGCACGACAGGCCTGGCGATCGCAGCAGGGCTGCAGAGCTTCGCCGTCGAGAACTGCGCGCTGAGCCTGGAGGTTTTGTACAAGGCGCCCCTTCACTGCCTATCTCTTGTACACGTCGGTAGGGCTTCCGTCTTCCGTCTTGTTCCGTTCTGTGAGCTCCACGTGTTCTGTGCTTGTCAGGCAGTAGTGTACATTGAAGATGGCGCTGCAGACAATGACGGCGCCATCGGCCCTGGCATCGACGTCATGGTGCCAGCGAACGGCATGGGGCTGATGGACCAACCTGAAAGCTGGGGCTGATGGACCAACCTGAAAGCTTGAGAGAAAGACAGTGCTCATGTTCTTTTTTTTTCTTCGCCGCAAGTCTTCAAGGCACAACAAACTCCCTCGCAGCGTATCCAAAGCTGGTAGTCATTGGTGGTGCCGTGGTCCCGGCCTTGGTACCCTGCAGGTTGCAGTCTCTCAACAGTGGGCCGTCCCAGTGAATTCTTTGGCTCTTGATTGCTGGGTTTGCAGCTTCCCAGTTGATTGAGGCCAGCTCTGATGGCATCACCTTTACCTTTGCCGCTTCTTGCCTGAACTGGATGCGGCGTGCAGATGAGATTGATTGAGAAGGTGGATAGTAAGCTGAACATCTTTCATTGTTCCCTTTCCGCTCCGCTTCTCCTTGAAAATCTTTTTCATGGTTTCTTCCGTTTCTTCAGTTTCTTCATTTCCTTTGCTCTGTTTCTGAGGCCGCCAGTGCTGGGCGGCTTTGGGCCATGGCCAGGATCTTAGCACCGGGAATGGCATCAGCTCGCATCGGGGCCTCCGAGGTGGTCCCCGACCACGTCGGTGACTGCATGACCGTGAGGCGACTGGACTCAGACGTCGCATCGCCGTCAGAACTGAGTTCTGACAAGCCTTTTTGGCGTGCCGGAGTCATTCACTCGGATCAATTTTCACCATACCAAAAGCACAGTGACAGTTCTGACTCTGTGACTCTGTGGCAGTTCTGACTCTGCCAGGGCCATGAAGTTCTTGCGAGATGCGCTTTGCAGCAGATGGTGCGCCTCTCCAGTCCGTCCGCTTCGCTTCGCAGAGCTCGAGTCAAATCCACCTGACGCCCCAGGAATTATGTCATCAACGACCAGACCCAAACCATCACTTTGACTGGATGCAATCTGAAAGGCGGTGATAAGAGACAAACATTGGTGTCATTTTGTTTGCTCAGGTGGCGACGAGTATCGCCTCTTCGTGTACGTCGAGGCCTTCAATTGCTTCACACGATTCCTGGATTTTCAGGCATTCTTGCCAGCTAAACCGGAGTTGCATCATGAACAACGCAACGCGCACATATTAGTACTTCCGCAGCAGCGGACTTAGAAGTGTCAACAGCGTCTTCCGAAGCAAACTTTGCATGGCTTGAGAACGCGTTGCCTGTGAATGCAAATGCTAGCTAGCTGCTTGCGTTGGTCACAGCATTTCCAATTAGTTCATATCTCCAATCTTGCATTACTCAACGAGTATCCAAAGGCACGCCACAAAAGTTCAGGATATCCATTAAATGGTGCTGACATGCACTCAGTGTTGCCGAAGTTGTTGCAATGTTTTTCGACAACATCGCAAGCAATATTGACAAGCATGCTCGACTCGTCGCCCTGCACTTTGCAAAGTTGCAAGTGCAATGAAGCGTCTCTTGCAATGCCAGGGGCCCTACAACAGTGACGACGGCGTGCTCGCACCGGCCATTCCGCATGGGCCCAAATGCCAGTCGTTCTGTCTGCGTTGGTTTTTCGCGCAGGTTCTTGGTGCCCGTGACCAATACCTTCACGGTCCAGCCGGTCGTCACTGGGGACTTGGTGTCTCCGGATGGCTTCTCCCTGACGCAGCCGCCTCAGCGCGATCGATGTGATCGATGTGATCGAATGACGGGGATGGGGCGAGGTTCACGGCCTCAGAGACCGAGGGCAAGGCCGGACACCGGACACCGGGAAAAAAGGTCGGCCTGCACGGCAAAAAGCGGCAACCAAGGGAGCAGAAGCCAAAGGGGCCCTTTGGATCCTTCTGGGACGGTTTTCAGAGCAGGCAAAAGGAAAACCAAGTACCTGAATGTCCAGACATTTGAGCAAAACCCAAAATTCTTCGCGAGGTGTGGGCCATGGTCGTTGCAAATATCCACGAGCAGTGGGTGGACCCCAACGCCATCAAGGCCTGGCTGCTTTTAGTACCGGATTTGGAAGCTGCGTTGCGGCATGGACCTGGCGGAATTTTCAAACGTTGCATGAAATCCGAAAAAATGTAACGATTGGAATGCTTGGATGTAACGTTGCATAAAATCCCGGATGTAGCGTTGCACGATTCCAAATGTTTGGATGCCGATTCGTTGCAGCTGTTTGGCTCTTGCTCCCATGGACACGCTGGCTTTGTTCCTGCAGCTGGGCTGAGAACTGGGAGGCTGATTTGGTTCGCAGGTTCTTGCTGGGTCAGTGTATGAGAGATGCATGAGGAGATATGACTTCCCTTCCTACATCTCTCTCGCTTGGAACTTCCAGAAGGTTAGACAGGTGGTTAGTGTCCCAAAAGAGATACACAATGAGGTGAGTACTGATAAGTTTTCAGGAGATGAATCCTCACTCTCCGTCCCTATTTTGTGTCTCATGGTCTTGCGTGTTTGAGTTGTTTTTCATAATAGGCTGGGACTGGGGTAGGAGAATGAAGAATCCAGATGACATGAAAGCCAAGACTTCTCTCTCTCTCTCTCTCCCCTTCTTGCCTGGCTTTTGCTGACTCGCGAATGCAAGGGACAATGTTATTAGCAGGATATCACTAGGACGGAATCCTGGATGTAAAAAGTCACTTCAATAATCTTCCATTTGGCTATGTGAGAGAGAGAGGGAGAGAGATCCGGGAGCTTCTATCACCTACCAACCGTTCCAAATTTCAAGTTGTTATACGGTTGTAGCTGGAGAACTTGATGTAGGAAGGGAATGGGAATGACCGTCGACCGTCTCCTGTCCTTTTCCCTCGCCATTTGTTAACCCTTGATATGTGGCTCGCCAACGAAGTTCTTGAATCCCAAGAGCTCCTCCAAAAGGATTCCGGTTCAAGTTGGATGGACAGATCCTTTTCACTCATCCCCACCCTTGCTCCGCTCCTGTGGCGGCGGGTGCAAGAGAGGAGAGACGTGACCAATGAGTCCGGATTGCATTAGACCTTGAGGACGTAGAAATCCAGGAGTTACCAAGTGAAAGAGTTATGCCGCAGAGTCAACCTGGTCTATCCTTGCGCCCATGGGGAAGGGATATGAGACAGTAAATGCCATCAGAAATCCGGTCCAGATTCTTTATTATTGGATTTCTGGAGTTCCTGTCACGAAGGACTCACGATGGAGCGGTGTAAAGGAGAGAGGCTTCCAATTCCCTTTCATCATCCATCATTTCTGTGCCTATAGGTGAGTCTCTGTGTTTGGTATCTTGGACGGTTTCTTCCGGCGGCATCCTACAACCAAGAATGACTGTGAATCCTAGAAATTGGTAAGCCCCTGGACTCGCCGTGAACCCGTCTACAACCAATAATTGTAAACGCTGCGCGTTGCCCGCCTCGGCCAAGCCGAGCGCACAGCGTCTGTGGTTCGACTGCAAGCAGCAGAGCTGGTCAAGTGGCGATTCAGGCATGGACAGGTTCTGGCGTCGTAGGACCAATTGATGTCATGGGCCCGCAGGAGTCTTCGAGGCGAGGGCCAGGCGATGCACAGGACAGGGCGAGCTGCGCTGGGCATTGCTTGGGTTGGTTAGGTTGGCGGAGGGCCTGGGCTGGGCGGGCTGGGATGCGCCTTGCTTGGGTGGTTGTTGGTCGGGCTGGGCCGGAGGCGAGTCTCTGGGCGGCCCGAGGCCAGTCTCAGACATGTGAGTGTGCCAGGTTGAGACGAGGCTGGTTTGTTTGACGTGTCCCTGGTTCTAAAATTGGGCAGCCGGGCCTGGGCTGGGCCGGCTGGGCTGGGCCTTGCTTGGGCTGTGAGGCTAGTCTCAGACAGGTCAGACAAACCTGGCCAGCAGGAGGTTCGGGAGCGAAAGGCTTTTTCTTGTGAGCTTTGCCATTCTCACGGGGTGGGTTGGGGCGGGTTGGGGGATTTCCCTTGGGAAACGAGATCTGAGCGCCCTGGGCCCCCTGGGGGCCGAGGCAAATTTTTGACCATTGAAGAAATCATCCAAGAATCTCCGTTCCCATGTTGTAGAGTGGAGATGAGAGCGGGTCAACCTGTCTCCTTCCCCGCCTCCATCGGTGAACCCTCGATTTCCCACGCTCGCGCATCCAGGATGTACATCTGACCGTGGAAAGATTCTGCCGGAGCAAACTTATCATTGGATCGGTGCTGCGGAAGCTTCTCTCTCCCACAGTCTATCATTATGTCTATCTTATTGCTATTTACCTTTGTGTTTCTAATTCTCTTTCCATCACTATCTATTGCTCTCACCAATTCTCAGACTGAGAGATGGAGAAGGATCGATATGGAAAGAAGAGTCATAGACAATGATAAATGGAAACACTCCTCGCTCCTGGATAAGTACTTCGTCCAGGTCCAACCGTGCAATCCGGACTCATCCATCGGTCACTTCTCTCCTCCACCCGCGGAACGGAATAAGGGGGAGATGAGGTAGGCAAGGGAGGAGCGGAAGGGATGGACCAAATTTGGCTTAGGGAAGAGGCTGGACCCATTTGTGGCCAATGAATGATGGAAATTGGCAAGCCTTTATCCCATACACAGCTACTTTTGTTGAGCTTCTAGAGTGGGATGAGAGAGGCTTGGCTTTCCTTTGTCCTTCACTTCATATCAGAACTATAAGGATGAAGGAAGGGGATGGAAAAGTCAATGAACGCCAGTTACTAAAGGCTTGACTTGATCCAAGTTCGCAGGGTCTTCCCAAGCTGACAGACGCTTCCGAGCGACGAGCGGAAAGCCGTGAGCGGGAGGGGCAAAGAAATCCTGACCGTGTCCCATCCCTGTATTTCCAACTCATTTGGGTCTTCTCTTCTATGTCGACCGTTTTTTTTCCCGTCTGAGGAGGCATCGGCCCAGGCCAGGGCGTCACAGGCGCGGGTTGCCTAACAATGCGCGCTGCGTGCGCAGCGTGCGCGGCGAGTGGTGTGCCTCACAGGAGGCATGACGCCGGAAGTCTGGGACGAGCTCTGCCACCTGCGGGAGGACAGGCAAAAGATGCTCGCCCCTTGGCCTCTGAAAAGCCCTGTGTACGTCGCGATGGGTTTCCGTTGGGAGGGGCTGTTGGCTGGGGCCGCGTTTGCAAGATGTTCGAGACTCTCGGTAGGTTCATCACTGTTCGCCCCAAACCATTTGGTCGCTTTTGCCCCCAGGATGAAAATAGGCAATGCTACAGGTGTCAACAGATCGACTGCGAACTCCTCCCAGTTGAAAGACCAATTACTAGACATCCGCACACGGAGTGCTGCTTTGGGGAGTGGGTGTGAGGGTGGGGGGGGGAGGGGTTCTTGTTTTGCCGGCAAAGAAAGCATCAACAACCTGTCCGCACGCGACTTCAACTTCTTGTAAGCGCACCCGTAAGCTTTAGCGCAGGTACCGGCTGCCGATGCATTGGCGTTGGATCACTTTTGCAGCCTCCCAGATGAAGCAAGTCGACACCGGTACATGGGCTCTAACTTCAAGCTGGCGCTACGCACTTCCTTGGCTATGCTGCTCAAAAGAACTGACTCCCGAATCACTTGCCATCCCCAGGGGTCCAATTCTGTGGCAAAAACGCATGCCTCAGAAGGCTCTAACTACTCGCAACACAAAGTTGGTCATACGTAAGTCCAACAGCACACTTTGCGAAAGGCCTTGTGGAAAATCAGCGGGCGGAAACAGGCTCACATGTACGCAGTACCATCCAGCATTTACGCACAAAGCGCCTATTGTCCGGATCACTTTTGCCTCCCCCCCCCCTTTCACGCTGACAGGGCGCACGAATTCAGCCCGATACTTTCGCATCAAGCATGAAAGCACTGGGCGTATGAATTGTGGATAGATGCCTCAGTCGACCTGAACACTTGTTGGATCACTTTGGCGCCCAGACACAGTCCTTTGAAGGGCGAAAGTGTCGTCGTCGCAAAGCTGCGTGGGTCGCTCTTGCGGGTCCACTTTCTACCCAAGTGATGCCAACTTGCCACGTTTCCATGGATCTCAGTCCATTCTCGTCCTTGGGCCTGAAGCTCCATTCCCGGACCCATGGCGCACACCAAGTATCCCAATCATCCCAATCATCCCGGCATCCCGCTTTTCGCTTTTCAAGGCAGCGTATTCATCTTCACAGCGGCATTTTGACGGCTGAGTTTTGCGCAACACTTTCAACCTTCGGGGATACCGCACGCCTTGCGTGATTGCTTGCAAGGATGCTGCAGAGAAGGCCAGGCAAGATGGAGACGAAGGCCAGATGCAGCAGGCCTATGCTTAAACCGGCACTGCTTCGGCTGAGGTGGTTCAGAGTTCCAGTCCATGCTGGCCTCCGAGATCACTGAAAAGATCGAGGAAGATACGAGAGTGAGAAGCAAAGAACAGATAGATTCCGCTTGAGACACGGTTCGGGCATCCTCTGTAAGTTTGCAGAAACTATCCCCGCTTCAAGGCCATGGGCGTGCGTGCCAGGAGATCGAAGGCAAATACGGCTTTGCACCGCCCGGCCAGCATCTCGGAGCCGATGTCCTTGGCTAGACTTGGCTCATTTCACAGTTGCCTCTGAGTTGCCTCTGAGTTGCCTCAATTTTAGGGAAAGGCGAAGTCCAAGCGCGCGGACCTTCTTCTTTCGTCGTATCCGATGCCTCTCCTTTCTTTGCCTCAGGACGGCGACGGCGCCTGCGCCAGTGCCCCCGGTGCGCTCAGTTCACAATGCCTGCAAAAGAAATTGTATAAGTTATAGCAAAGCTCAACAGTTGGAGCATGCGACGCTCGCTCGGTCCACCAAGCTCGCTGTTCTCAGCCAGTTCTATGGGAGGCGCTGCTCTCCTTCTCGCCGGGCATGACTCAGATCCCCCCGGGGGTGGCAGGCTCGACGCGTTCCAAATGACCAATCAGACTGGCCACATCAGTAGAACAAGAGGGAGAGACAGTCCCAGGCGCTTTGGCCTTGCGGCCGGGCATGAGCTTGGCGCCTGTCCTGCCACCAGGCAGTCGCTTGTCACTTTTTGCCAGGGCATGCTGTG